TAAAACTATTTGTTGAATCGGAAACTAGATTAATACGCTTTCGATATTTGATTGGTAATAGTATTAGTGACGATAAATGATGCAACAAAGTTACTTTTAATGATAGAAATTAATGAAAACAATAGTACTCATTTTGTTGCTAGTATTTAGTATAATAATAAATGGAATAATATCAATTTTGATATTATTTAATTATAAGGATGATTAAGCCTCAATGATATTATGAATAACCTTGAACAAAAGATAGTATATTGAAGTATATGTAAAGTAAAGTAGGGTGAATCTACTTAATTTTCGAAAGAACCTTTGATATGCTTTTTGGAATTCATTCTAATCTCTTCCTTTATTTATGAAAATTATTCTAAATTGATCTTTTTTGAAAACCTTTAATCATGGTTTCTTTCATCGAAGAATTTTCAGAATATTTGCAGATTGCATCTATTTTAGAAATGAAAATAAGTTCTGATTGTATCAGTTTGGAATTAAAAAAGAGTGCATAATTGAAATAACAATCCCTTGTTAATTGGATGCATTTTTCAATAAATACCAATGCATGAATTTAATTTGCAACCTCAAAAATAATAGCACAATGAGGAAAAATAACAAAGCAACAGATGGATTTATTTAAATTATATAATTCATTAACCTATTAGTGGGAATAAGATAATAAGGTTCGTAAAATGAATGGTAGGGAGAAATGCAAATGACATCTCCGGAAGATATTCAAACTTGAAAAATATGTTTGTTAGTTGCTGAAGGGATAAGAATCTTTCTTCCTTCTTTACAATCTTTTCTCATTTCATCCTATTATTTTTAAGGCTGTTTGTCATTTCGAATGAACTCTATATTCAAGAATAAATTAGAGTATACTCAGCAGGAAATATTCAAAAGGAATGAATTCAAAAGAAATTCTTAAAAAAAATTCAATAGAAAATATTCAAAAGGAATAAATTAAATGGAAAATATACTGAAGAACGTCTAAGGTATGTAATATAAATTAGGAAACAGACATAATCAGACAAAAAAAAAAAAAAACATAGACATAAAGGATAAAGAAAGAATGAATCTCAGTGTTATGCCTGATTAAGAATTTGTCAACTAATACATTATGCATTTGATGACCATCTTTCCTAACATAATACTATGAAGTTAGTTTAGCTTTCCAGTCCATTTATACAGAGTACAATGTAGCATATCTGTTGTGACAAGTAAATGAAATCATTCGATCCAAAGTCAATCCGTCTAATTGTATTATAGTCTTATTACAGCTTTTTCATTGAAGTCTTTAAAATTTTTTATTAAAATTTAATTTAAATTTGTCAATTAAAAATAAATTTCAAAGTTCAAAATCTGTTTGATCAATAAATTTTCAAGAAAGACATGTCATATCAAATTTCACAATAAAAATTTTTCTCTCATCAGGAGGACATCAAAACTTACTGGTAGGGAAACTATCTGGAAATTGAAAAAATAAATACCAAATCAGTTTGAATAAATATCAGTTATATTTTATAATTGACTAATAATTCTATTAAACATTATGTTTTTACAGCAACAAATCATGATTAGCCGCTAAGCATAATTGTATTATGATTTGTGGATAAATTATTGTTAAGTTAGCATAGAAAATAATTTCATGCCTTTCAAGTACCAATAAAAAGATTCAAAAGCGAATCTCTTTTTTATATGAATAGAATCAACCCATCTCAACAACATAGTATCATGTGTCACACCATAAGGGAACATTTTCAAGTCTAAGCTAATCTGAATCAACAAGTATAAAGTAAATCGGTGATGCAAAAAAAAAATGCCCTAAGTAAAAAGAAGCAAGAGAAGAGCGGGGATTACCTTGAGTGGATCAAATTGATTCGGGAAGAGGAGCAAATTATAGTAATAAGAAGCAGACGATCGAGGTAGTGCATTGAATGGTAGCCGCTCGTGCTGTCACGATGGCCTGAATTGCTAATCCTTCAAGAGTGGCCGTTTGGCTAGCACTAACACACTGATTTGTTTTCTAGTTGCATGTTCCGAATGCCTCTTTCCTTACTCCATCTTCTTCCTATCTGTCCTTTAAAAGAAATTTCCATTTTTCACAAAAGCTACTTTTCAAAAGAACATCACAGTGAATGAATGAGTGATGATAAGTCTTACTCCTTATTTTCAAGTTAAGCATACATTTGCTATGCTGTAAACAACTGAATCAAACAATCAACATGAAAACAAATAAGTAAACATTATATTTATTCATCTGTTCATATACATACATACATCATACACAGACACACACATGCATAACACAAGCGTATATGCTTGACGCCACATGTTCAAACTAGGCTCTTAAGCTCCCACTTCTATATAGTACGTCGCATGTTTGCGTCTCTTCTTGTGTCTATGTATGCATAATATCGGAGTGTCATCTTTCAAGCCTAACATATCCTTTGTCGAGAATGCAGTTACGCAAGTGTTACAGCCAGCATCCTTATCTCTCACATGACTTATCAGGCTACCACTAATTTCACTACCGACCGTATAGGAATTTTTCCTGGTTTAGAGGAAGAGGAAGAGAATATAAGGGCTATTATCCTCAAGCGAAGAAAAAACTTTAGATACATAAGTTAGGATAACGATAAGCTGTGTATATGTCTATGGATTTGCTAGAAGTTTCAAAATGAAAGTTTTTAAAAAAGACTTTATCTTTCCTTTCACCTTTAATTTCCAACTGACACATTACGACATCATTCGAGAATTCTAATTTCAGCATTTTAGTTAGAGATTCAATAAATAACAAAATAAAGATAAATGAATAAATATAAAACTACTCAGTTAATTAGCATAAATGATGCATGATGCATCAGGGTTTTGAAATGAAATCAACTGTTGAGTAATTTAATTATTAGCATACATTTCTATCATTAAGAATAAAGAAAAAAGCCAATGAGAAGGTAAGATTTTACACTTTTTGAATTTTATCAAACTTAGAGGAACTAAACGCAAATATGCTACAATTTTACACAAAAAGTATAAGTAATCAGTGAATAATTATATTTCCTTTTTAAACTTCCTTTCAAAATATTCCATGTATCTGGGAAGCGTGAATCCATCTGTAGTTGGAGAAAATTTCCGAAGTGTTTGTTCAAAACCTTTCACTATAAACTGAGCTATGATCTGCTAACAGCACAATGGACATGTATAATTCCTGCAAAGTACAAAATAATATGTTGCTGATTAATTTTAACATCCCGTACAACTAATTTTTTATTTCTACCATATGTTTGTCGAAAGTAGTGTTCTCTAATAGTAAATTGATAAGAAAACTGTGATTTTCTACAGATTAGAAAAGGTTAACAATACTCAAGGATAACTCTATGAATACGTAGCAAAGAAATAGGCGAAACTGACCGCAGGCTAATCTTGCATGTAAAAAATCTGGGTTCCGAAACAAAAACTGAGGAGAAGAGAAACTATGTATGTAAAGGAGGCAATCTACGACATCTTCATTCAAATGCATTCATGGTTGATTTTCAAAAAAAAAAAAAAAAAATTAAAAAAAGAAAAAGAAACAATAAAATTGATGTTTTTTTCGGAAAAGATGTCAGACGAGACAATGAGATTTCTGGGACTATTACTTAATGAGAATTATTGTTAATTCCTTTCAATTTGTAGTCTTGAACAAGATATTCCATGCCAACAACTAAAAGGTGTGCAAGCCTTCTGTATACAAACGGTACAAACTGTCAAATCACAAACAGCAGAAAAAAGAAAATATGGTTCAATAGCGAATATCAAAATCGTCTTTCAAAAAAAAAAAAATGATAAAAAGCGGTTTATCGTCTAGACACATGCTAAACCAAGTTTTAGAAATTTTCCAGTTTTTTTTCGATCCATCAAAAAATGGAAACAACAGCATATAATTTAATTAAACAATTGGTGAACAAAAAAAGTAATACACTTTGAACTTATTAAAATCAAAAAACAACTTCGCCATCAAAGCTTCTTAGATCGTCACCACCGAAACCATTGTTACAGTCTTCACAACAATCCAATTAATATCGCTGGATGTGGTAATTTTCTTAAAAAAAGTTGTTTGAAAGTGAGAATTTATAAAGCAACTTTAAAGATTATTTTAGATATTCTACTGCTCTATATTAGCTTTCTTAAACTTAAGTTGAAACTTAAGTTTTTTAAACTTTATGAAGTATCAGGCAAATCAACAAAAATTCTTTTTTCAAAACTGGAAGAAAACAGAATTGTAGACGTCACTTATTTTTTACAAATGACTATACCTAAACAATCAAACCTAAATATAATACTTGCCCAATACTTTATAAAATTGAAATCTGTAAACTAACAATAACAACAAACCGTCTTAAGAAAGCTGCATTCAATTCCATAGACAATTAGTTGCACAAATGAGCAATACAGAACTAGGCGGATTATGTAATCTTCAAAGTTGCACAAATAGTTCAGTCTGTAAACTAAAAATGCTGCAACTTTTTAAAAACTATAGATTTAAATTTAATTCACTACCGCTACATGCAGTTGCTGTCACATTCAACGTGATTTAAGTGATTTAAGGTGCAAGTTTTATTTGGCATTTCTAGTTTTTTGGATATTCGAACAAGGATTAAATTTTAAGCAGAGAGAGAGGTTTTAAACAGAAGAATTAGACAAAAAAAGAAAAAAAAAAAAAAAAAAAGGATTGGTAGAACGTTTATTTGAGTTGTTAGAATCACTAGTAAAGAGCAGAACTTGCTTTTTCGAAGAAACACACATTTACCTTGACACGTCCAACATTATCATCTTCAATAATCTGTCTAGTCCGACATAACCTATCAATTTCGTTGATAAATATAATCGAAGCAACATTATGAGCTAAAGCATGGTCGAAAAGTTCATGAATTAATTTCTCACTTTGACCAATCCATGTTGAAACAAATCTGAGGAACAAACCTGCAGCGAGTCGAAATATGAATTAGTTATGTGGAATTCACTATATAAAATCACGGCTTCTTTGCCATACGAATTTGTTTTGACTTAATGGCGAATGGCATTAATTGAAGAATCACTGAAATATTAAATTGAATTTGAAGAATTTAAATGATATGATGCTTTAAACGATATTACTCGCCATTAAATCATGCGGGAAACGCTTATAAAATTAAAAATAAAAAAAAAAAAAAACTAATGACTTCTACTTGTAATTAAGCATATTTTACCTAGTAAAATCTCATAGTCATTTTCCGCGCAGCAGACTGAGATAAACATGTTTTACCTGAAATATTTGTTTTTTTTTAATCCACTTTTATTTTCATTTTAAATATTTCTGCCAAAGATTTCATTTTAAATGGACCATAATCCAATTAAAATTGGAAGCTTTATAATATCTTTGAAACTTTTACATATATTTTAATGTATTTTGCAGAAAAATTCAATTGAGATATCTTATTTAGATAAGTGAATAAAATAAGCAAGGAATTAGGTAATACTATAGAGGTGACAAGAAAAAATTAGTTCCTGATGAATAGTGAATGCAAACCAGGGATTATGGCTTGATGTAACATTCGGATACAACACAGGATCAACCACGGCTTCCGTTAGAGCCGTGCTAACAATTACTAGTTCAACAATATCATCCTTAGCAGGAAGTTGTGACTTGTCTTTAACAATGGAACAATGGTACGTTCAGTAGCTTCTCTTCATCCAGTAAGAGTCGAGAATACTCGATGAAGTATTCTGGAAATTAACAAAAATTCGAATTTTTATAAAATTTATATCAAACTAACACGAATTCTTTTTTTCTGTACCGGTAGAATTTCAGATCATTTTCTAATAAATTGATAACTTTCGTTTTTTTAATAGTATTATTGAGATGGGAAATTTCACAAACAATATAACAGTGGCATCACTTAAGACATTAATTCATTTTAATTCACTAATTTTACAAACTGACTTCATAGAAGAAAGAAATAGTTGTTGATTAGAAAATTTGCTGTCTTACAGTGAGTGCAAGTCAACTGAGTAATATCCACGAAAAATCACTTTTGACATAAGACACATGAGGGTGGAAATGACGACAAATATTTGACAGCTCGAACAGAATATGATCCTTATTTCCCATGAAAAAAACACAAATAACATATATTAATCTGTAAACTACCTCTCAGAGACGACCGGAAATTTCGAAAAAAAAAATGACTACCTTATCAGAAATAATTGTTGGTGATGGTTTTTTGTTTGTTTGCCAGTATGTAATATTTACTACGTACAGCAGCGTAGAGTGAATTCTCTCAACCTTATATTTGCTGACACCCCAGAATGATTTGATATCTGTAATTTTTATTTATGATAATAACAAACAGTCTGTTACTAAAAAGATTAATTCCCTTAGTTTGTGCCAAAATACAGTATTCAACCCTCGGCTGTAATAAACTGATCCTTTTCTCATCTCCAAGCACCTTATTTGATGCCCTGTAAACTGCAGCACTCTACATTTTTGTATAATAGATTATACGAAGCCAGAATCCGGTTTTCCTGTGTCTTATACACTGAATACTGCGGAGCTCCCAACTGATACACGAATTTTATAACTAGGAAATAGAAACCGGTTTGCTGGAAATAGTAATGTGGAAATTAGCACTTCCCATCTAACAACAAATTTGATAATCAAGAAAGGCTTTCCATGTATGCAGATCATCAGCTTAAAACAACTTTACATGTTAAGTGAAAGTTAAGTTAAGTGCTTAAGTTAAGTGCTATTTAATTTTTTGTATTTTACACAAAAATACAAGTTTTTGAAGAAATGCAGCACGTAATGAACATATATATTTTCAAATACTACGCAATATTACCATTTCGTCATAAAACTTATACATGATAGTACTCTCAAGAACCAGTAAGAAAAGCCAGTCCATAGTACATCACACAGATACCACGTACCTAGTGTTTCTCTCTTTCAGGTTTTCTTTTGAAGGTAATGCATGTTCTGGAAATGCGCACTCAATATTTCGAAGCAACAAATAAAAATAAAGAGATCATATAAGAATCATGAAATGTATTTTAAAATTTTATTGGTTAAAATTTTATTGATTTCATTCTTAAGCTAACAGTCAATATTGATTAAAATTAAGGTCAAAATCAGAAACAAATATGGTTGTACGTATTTATTTGTTCTTTAAGCATGCACATATTACAGTTGAATTGTTGCGCTACGTTCAGAGCTCTATCTGTTAAATATAGAACATCTACAAGCTGCGAAAGCAAGCAATCCGCTACGGTAACTGTCAATCCCTGAGCACCTAAAATGAAGTAAATCAAAAATTTTGTGAATAAAAAACTCATCAAATATCATTATCATACTATATCATTATTAGAAATCATAAAAAAAAAACTCGAAATCCAAAAAAAAGTCGGTTTTAATTAGGGAAACAACCGACATATTTTCTGAAGTTGTAAAATTAACATAATCACGTCTGATCTATGTGCTGCCATAACCTCACAAAACCAAAATCTCCCTGATTCTCCTCTAAAGCGATGGTTGATAAATAGTAGTGACTACGTGGAATAACTGCTTGCATCTCAATCTCATTTCTTTACATCTTAAAACAGATATTAAATAGTTAAGCTATACGTATATAAAAACACTTCGAAAACAGCACCATTGGTTTTCGGTGTGACTTGATAAGCAGCACAAACAAGGCGATTTGCACTTATATAATATGAGAAAACCAAATCAGGTGGCAGTGGAGGATTGAAACATCGCGTTATCGCTGTATTACATAGTTCTAGCAACGTACGTTTTCCTGGCATGCATAATGTTAAACGTGCTTGTCCGATCAAGTTTGTTATCTGAAAAAGGAAAATTGCTAATAAGCAGAAAATTTATTATATAAAACATTTCTTGTTGGATAAAAGTATTGTTGATACAAAGGAAAATGGAAAGCGTAGAATTTTAGACTTAAATTATATATAAAAAATATATAAAATTTATCGAAAACAATTAAAAACTGGTAAAACGAGGGCAACAGATTGTACCTTAGCAATAATGGTGGTAGCAGTGGATGACATCTTACTGATATCATCAGGTGGCACATGCCTAATCCACTTTAGTTTCTGAAGAATGGTTAATGTAATAAATTTTGGTCATTTAAGACTATTTTTCTCAAAAAACAAAAACAAAAAAAGGAACTGAAATTAGAATTGTAAAGAAACTCACCTGAATAATCATGCTTAGAGCCTGAACATAGTAGTTATCGGCATCTTGCATTTGCTGCAATTTCCATTGTACATCAGGCTGTGCAACTCCGCGATAAACACCACCAGGCATTTTCGGATGCTTTATTATCACCTAAAAATCAATTGATTCAAGGAAATCGCTCTACATTTGTATTAAAAGTTCATATAAACAAAATAAGAACTTCTGAAAGAATCAGTAAATAATAAGTTTCCTCCTACTATAAAAGCGCAGAGCATTTTAATTTTGGATCTTTCTGGCATTACCTCGGTTTGTATAACGCTTTCGCCAAGCAGCGTGACAGAACATTTGAACACTTCCGCTCCCGTTCGTTGTACCAACGAAAGTTTTTCTGTTGTCGGATTTTCAATCTCCAACTTAATTGACGAATCCACTTTAGTAGATAAATTCATTCTTTTACAAATTGCCCGTAAAATATTTTCTAGCTAAAATCTTTAAAACAAATAAATTATTAAGTAAAAATAGCTCAGTAATATAACTGTCAGTTAAAGCTAGTTTTCTAATTCTTGACATATATAACCATAGCTATAAATCTCTTCCAAAACATCCGATATTAATTCGTGCTAAATCCAACACCATGGATTGAAAATCTCTTAAGAAACCTTCATAAAAATTTCTACGATTTCCAAATTTTGAAACCAGTGCTGTTCAGCCAACAGACCATGTTGTATCAGTAATGCTCGCCTTCTCCTTGATTCAGGACTACTTCTGTGGATGTCATCATTACCATCACCATCATCATCACCCTGAGCTACCTGGCGGTGAACGGTTTCGGTGACAAAATCTGCTTTACTCATTGCGACCTTTCATCATCTGAACATTACCTTCAAAGTACCATAAGACATGTTATCGTGACCTAGCAAAGTTACCACCATCATATTCACATACTCACCTAACAAACAATCAGAAATCACCTCTGCCAACCGAATCACACAGCACTCCCTGTCATCCACCTCGTCCCTTTACGGGACACTATGCAATGCTGATGAGTCATGCTTGATAAGTCTTTGAGGACAGACAGGTTAGCGTCAAGGTATCCTTCAGGTTACTTCTTTCCATTGCAGTCACTGGTTTTTAATATGAACTGTGCTCTGAACCTTTCTTTCTTTTTTAAGAGAAGAAATAGGTCCATTCCTTCCGGGGAAAGGAAGAGAAGCACAAGGATGGCATCGTCATATGCATTATTCGACATTTACTTCCTGTTCTGTTTAGCATTCAGTATTCTTTTATACAGACTTTAATTTGTTACGCAAAAATCGCTAGGTGAAAACTATTGGCTAAACAAAATAACAGGGCTCAAAGGTCTATTACTATGACTTATTATATCTGATCTATTTCGTTTCAGTCCCATATTTCACTCGCGCATCTTTATTTTTTGTGCAACTATCAATCAAGTCAGGAGAATGTCACTGCCTACAGTATTTGTGGTTTGTTACCTTTTTTCCTCTTAGATTTCTGTGTAAGTGTTATTTAAATGAATGACCAGGTTGCCTACATTTGCCTACACTGAATGGTATCAATGCTAATCCTGGGAAGAATCTCACCAATAGTAAGTTCATTACAGTTTTAATCAAGAAGCTTCGATTACTTCAGTCCTCATTTGATTGGCCAACATCGAACCTATAAACCTACTGCTACTTTTATTAACGTAGATATCTTCTGTTTAATACTGTTGCAATATAGCCCCTTTAAAATAAAGCCGATTGACTAGCTTTGGTAGGAATTATCATTGCAGATTGCATAGTTAATAAACAGTTGAAATTTAGAATACTAAATATTCTTTTTCTTTTTTAAAAAAAGTGTTCCTTTTTCTATCAAAAATTTGAAAATGCTGAGACATTAGGGTTTGCTCAATCAGTTATTCATCAGTTTCACAGATTACTGGTGCGAACAAAGGAATTGGTTATGGTATAGTGAAAGGTCTTGCTGAAAAGTTGCAGACTGCAATCATATACCTTACGGGTATTATTTGCATGTTGCAATGAATATTAATTATAACTTGTAACTGTACTTACCGGAAGAAGAAAAATGGAAGGTTCACTGACGAATCAGTTTTGCTTTCCCTAAATTTCTTCATGGATCAGATCATTTTTATTGTAATATTCAATAATCTCCATTCCTTTTTTTTTTTCCACAGCTAATGGAATACAATTTCTTCATTTTTACAGCGAGGAATGAGAAATTAGGTAGAGAATCGTTGGACAAACTGATCAAAGAACTGGGCGATAATCGTCACTCTGACATTCGTTTTCATCAACTTGACATCACTGATCATACCAGCTGCGAGAATTTTGCTTCCTACTTGAAAAAAGAGCACAATGGACTGGATGTATTGATTAACAATGCAGGATTTGCTTTCAAAGTGATTAAATAACTGATACAAAATTTTTTACGCTTACATTTTGAATCAAATGATATTACAATAAAGATATAGAATCGCTCTATAATTTTTTACTTTGGTCATTGTAAAAATATTTGAAAATGACTTTATTAAAGGGTGTATTAATAGCCATTTTCAAAAGGAGGAATGTGTTTTTTTTGTTGAGCTTTGGAAAGTGAAAGATTGAATGATGGTCATGCACTTCAGAACGCAGCTACTGAACCACCAGAAAAACAGGCTCGCGTAACAATTGGTATCAATTATAATGGTACTAAACAAGTCTCTGACATACTATTACCCCTCATTCGAGACGGTGGAAGGTTAATTTTTTTCAGCTTCTATTAGTTAATCAAAATTAAAGGAAGCAGTTTTCCAGGTCTCAGGTAGTTGTTGGTTTTTTCTGTGCATGTTAATTACATTTTTTATTTAGAGTTGTTAACGTAAGCAGTTCGGAAGGTGTTATTGCTGGTCGTTATAGTGATGAAATTATTGCTAGGCTTACCAGTCCTTCGTTAACAATTGCTGATATCGATAAGTTTACTCGTGATTACATAAAGTGAAGACTTTCATTAATACAAATTATGTTTTTTGTATTAGAATAAATGTAATTAAATGAATAAAAGTAATTAAATAAAGGGAATAGTGGTAAGAAGCAAGGAGGATTTGGAAAACTTTTTTGTCATTGAATAATGATTAGTACACGGAATTTTTTTGTATCGTATAGTGTTAGTCTTTATCATAAGAATACTATTCCAGGGCTTGCATTGAAGATAAACGGAGAGAAAATGGCTTTCCTAACTCAGCATACAAAGTGTCAAAAGCTGCAGTTATAGCACTCACATTCATCCAAGCGAAAGAACTGAAAAGCCGGAATATTTTGGTGAATGCGGTTCGTCGTTTCTTTTCTTGATTTTCTGAAACTTTATTCTAAATGCTATACTGAAAAATGTTTAAGGTATTCATTAATGAGCAGGATAACTTTATTTCTTCATTCAGTTTTTTTTTTTCTTACCCGTTTTAGCGAATTCTAAATTTTTGTTTCGTGAAATCAAGGAGTTTTTGGTCGTAGTAAGGGAATGGATTATTGAGACGCATTAATTCATTACAATTTTCGGGATAGATTCGTAAAGGTGAGTAACTCTCAATTCTTTATTGAAATGAATAGAAGTTTTTGCAGTGTCATCCCGGATATGTTAATACCGACATGACAAGTCATCACGGTCTTCTAACAGTTGAAGAAGGTGCTGACACACCTATTTATTTAGCAACTTTGGAAGGCAACGGTCCAACTGGAAAATTTTTTTATAAGAGAAAAGAGATCGATTGGAGTGTACCATTTGTTAGCAGTTGATTTTTTGAATTCATCAATCAGTAATTTGTGATTCTGTGAAGTTCATTACCAGTCAGTAGTCTCTTTATGTATCTTGAGCGTTTTTGTTTATTTATTAAACCATTTTTTTTTTCAATGAAACAAAAGAAAATAGGGAGGAATTATTATTATTAGAACATGTAGGGGAAAGTTATTCATATGGTTGTAACCGTTAAGACATTAGGTAGTTTCCTGCATTACCAATGATATTTCTCAGCACAATCATGCAGAATTCATTTTCGATGCGAATTCACTTTAAATGATTGCGGTAATGTTTACATTCATGAAACAAAAGAATCACTGTCTCTTTAACGTTTAGATAAAAGTTGATGCAGTAAAACCACAATAGTTATTCAAAGTCGATGGTACACATGCTGTTTCAACTTTTTATAAAATTTATGTGATTTGAATATGTACGGCTATTATTATTGAATAATTAATAAGAGTGAAAAGGCAATGAAAACTTATCTCTTAAAATTGATGATTTAACTGAGTTGCCATATCGACGGATCAGGAAATCATATTAAAGCAATTTAACGACATATTATCGGTGAATGTTGTTACGACAAAATATTTCTCGTTAATTTTTTTTAAAAAGACATTTCGATATGGTAGATGATCAGCATCGTCCTTAAGTATGGAAGTTGAAGTTAGTAAACTTAGTAAACGATGAGTAATTTAAGAACGATGACACTTAACATTGCTTTTGTTTGTAATTCATTTGTTCAACATGACTTATAGTTCAGTTCGTTCTTGAACTAACAGCCAGAGTTACACTTTTGCCACAAACAAGTGTTATTTGGTCACACTTATAAATGCTTTTCTGAATGCATTCCGGAAATAATTGCCTCACGTGGCACGCAATATCGTCCTGTTTTATGAGGATTGCAGCTATATTTGTTAATGGATTTAGATTACAACTAATTGCTACTGCTACACGGATCAATTCGGAATAGTAGGTTGTTGGATCGTCATCATTATCGCCTATCAACAACTTAATGCATAATGGTATCACGTAAAAAAACAAAGTGAACACACAGGAAACACCCATTGTAATGGTAAGCTTACACTGGCGTGCTTCAAATAACCGTAGCGATGTCTCCTGAAATATACAGTATTGGAGTATTTGTCTCCTGTGCTCACACTGCATCAGATACATAGACGAAATTTCAAGTTCAAACACTTTCTATTTGCATCACATTAAAAATATCTTAAAAATGAGCCACTTGAAATGTTCAAATAGACTTTCGTTATTCACTTTATTTATTACTTACTTTATTATTGTTGTTGTTTATTATTATTATTACTGTTATTATTATTATATTAATTATTAATTATTAGTTCAATTTATTATTAAATTGGATTTTTGTGGTAGGAAGAATTCATTTTCAATCTGAAGAAAGCGCTTAAATCAATCAAAATTAGGGCCAGTCAAAACAGGAACAGACAATACCAACAAAAAGGAGATTATATAAGAAGCCCTAGACAATTATAACAATCTGATCTAAAGTAACTTCTGTCTCTTCCTTACTGCCTTCTGTTTGTTCTGTTTTTTCTTCCTTTCTGTTTACCTATCTTTTTCCTTTTCTTCAGTTAGAAGAACAGCAAATGTAAACTAACCGATTGATTACTTTTTATCCGGCGAAGATGTTTTCTGCTCAACAAATACACAGCAATGTAGAGAATAACACTTAAGGATGTGGAAATGATCATCACCAAAGCATGCAAATCCGCGAAAAACGGCTGCAGAACATCACCTGACCTGAATATAGATGTTCCGTAAGGAGTGAAATGATCCGGTTTAGCAATTTATCTGTGAACTAATCAACATTTACCAACAAAAACCATGCAACATAGATTCCGTATCTTTGAAGGAAAAAAACCAGCAAACGAAGATGAATAGTGACACTGAACCGAAATAAAAAGTGATCTGAAATTTAGCTCTGATCATTACTTAAGGCTTTTGAGATTTCAATGTAAAATTGAAAAATTGCAAAATTCAAGAAGGATGTTTCGGAGTCCTTACAACCAAAGATTCAAAAAAAAAAAAGTGCTTTATGCTAAAATTGGAAATTAACCTGCTTGATTTGATATGAATAGTTCTTCTCGAAATATCGCATAGGAAATAAAAGTGAAATGATGCGGTCTGTACTTACCATAAGTGTCGATATTGCTGACATTAACTCTGACCTGAATCATTATTTGCAGATTAATATTCCGATTAGCAATATTCTGATTAGGATGGGTCATAGGAACTTACAGACGAAGAGATAAATAAAAAAAAAATGAAAAACAAAATGTTAGAATTTACCAGGTAATCACTGTTGACCATGGTAACAACAAGCAAGATCGTCTGGTTATCCGAAAGCATCCAAGTCCTAATACAATTAGACGACCGATCCCGGCTAGGCAAAATCCAAATCCCAACGTTGTGTCGGCAAAAATCTATGAATGAGATACTGCATTTAAAAAAATGGCAGAAACAGCTTTAAAAAGTGAAGGAACGGATAAGTAAAGTTATTGGACATCAAATAATCTAATGTCATTTTGGTTAATTACCTGCGCAAACAAAATGATGTATTGTCGTCTGAGATGACGATGTTTGATTAATACTAATTCAACCATACCATTGCAAATGATAAGCAGAAATCCTTCAAATGCATAAATAGCAAATGTAATTGTTAAGAATAGCTCCCTATTTTCCATTACTATGGCGCTGTGTTCGTAAAAAAATTGGCAACTGAAAGTGATGTGAAGTTTGCATTTAAATTGGACACACAACATGAATAAGTTGAAATGAGCCAAAATTAGTCAGCAATTCTATGAGTCAGATGGAAATCTGAATAAAGCGCTTCATATATTTGCTTGCTGTGTCTAATGACATTACATTGTGATTAACTTATCACTACTGATTAGTGAATTTAACAAGAATGAATCAACCACTGACATCATATGTCTTTTTATAATCAATAAAAAGAACTGCTTGATTGAACTTAATGAAATACCTTTTTAGGATACATTAAATAATATGATCATGGGAATTGTCGCTGCATGAATGGCTTTGCTAAAAAGCATTACAAGCGTTAAAACAAAAGTTTTCATGCATGCTGAAAACGTTAAACTAAGCTAATTACATTTATAATTGGTGAGAAAATTCCTTGTCACAGGCAGCAAAATCCTAAAATTACTATTTGAGCTTTCCAAAAATAATCTCTAAGAAATGGTAATTCATAAATTAAAAAAGAGCTATTTTGAGAGCTAATTATTTCTATCTCTAACACTGAATTGAATGAATGAATGAATGCTTCCATTGTTGGAATTTGTTTAAGTACTTAAAAGGACTATCAATAACAATAATCCAAGCTGCAGATACAGTGAAATTGTTTTCACTTCAAACTCTAAAAAAAAGATCAGATGGAGCTGTCGATTAAAGCTGCAAAACTGATTGTTAGGAAAAACAGAAAAGTTTAAATATTTTTGAAAGGAGTTCCCTGCATGCGACACAACTGCTCTTATCAACGTACTAATATCATTGTTTCATTCTTCTCTGAAGACTACTCGTCAACTATTACAGTATAAATCGCTAAACTTTTGTCTTAAATAGACATATCTCTCACAAACAGAAAAGTCCTCTACTATCGTATCAGTTTTATTGATGAAATATTTAATGCCTTTACTACTTTATTCACATTTTTGCAGAAATATATCATGTATAGCTAAACTGAACATTAGTTACTAATAGATTCTTGTTAAATAATAGCGTAACGCATAATGGATTAAATTAAAAATTTTGTGAATATCAGATTAGATGTGTTGCAAAAATATAAATTCTTCTCAAATAGTTACATCTATAAACTTTTCGTTTGCGTATGGCAACATTTTTCGAAAATATTTTTATAGCTCTTTATGTTACTTCTTCAGAACCCTTACAACGATAGAAATTCTGCAATCATCTAAAAGGCATTTACAACGCTAACCATTATTGTTTTGACCAATAATGATCAGTGAGACTAATCAATTTTTCAATTAAGGTTGAGTAATTAATGAAAATAAAAATCAGATTAATATTAAGTAAAGTTTATCTGCTAATGCAAGATAGGTTTAACTGTAGCAGTTCCTTCTTAATCAGCTACAGATTACTGATAACAATGAAGTAATCGTATCTCTGATCAAAACGAATTAATTTTTTCGATTTTTCACGTTACTGAATTAGAATCAGCAGTACATTAATTACAGCTCAATGTTCCATAAGGTTACAATAATTGGAAACCCCTTTAGTGATTAGAATCTTTCAATCAATAAATTAAATGTACAATAATTAATATCGAAAAACTGATATGTTAATTAAATTTTGTCAGAACGTAAATAAGCATGTCTGTTGAAAATTTTGAAAAAAATTCTCTTGGTATTGTTTAAAAAGTAACGTCTATTTTAATAATCCATTCATAATCAGCAGACTGAGGGAAAACATAATGAAAGGAAAAGAATGCGTTGCAGAGTTATTAACATGAAGCAATTCAGGTGTAAACAACAAATCATTAATGATATCCAAAAGTTGTTTCTAAACATGAAATAATTATTGCCATAGATTGCACTCACATTTCACTTTTCTATCATTTTTATGAATGTTAGCATATTATTTAACAAGCCTTACTATTATCAGAAATTATTTCTTCTTTACTCACATACTATTACAAAAAAAAAAAATTTAAATATAAAAATTTTCAATTTTAATTGCTACTAAACATTAAATATTGAAAATTTATGTATCTGTCAGCAATATATTTTGCTCAAAAGCAACACTCAGCCAAAACTTTAAATGAAATCGGATTTGAAACAGTTTTAAGCGATAATTATTTTTTTAATTTCGTTACAAGATCATAAATAACGACATTACAAGAAAAAATACGTAGACATCTCTCAAGCCTCATTCATATTTCTGCTTCTTCTGCTTACAACTAACTGAATTTATGTTTTATATGATAACTGGTCGAATGATTTTATTTCTTATAAACCAAAGTTGAAAGTATCCGGAATGAAAAGTTATTACAGCTTTACAAACATCGTTTGTATCAAATGTGTACATAATAGCTCTGCTAACTAACAATATAATAGTGAAATTAATTCCTAGAAACTTAAGTAGCATATATTAATTAATGAGAACCTCAAATACTTAAATCCATTACAGCAACGAATTGTACAATGTGTTATAACGAATAATCAGAAATCTTAGTGATTATCTGTTCTCAAGCATTTTCATGATCTTTCCTAAGTCTGAATTTCAGATGTACAACAATTGCAAGTCTATGTTCACTAACCATTGTTGTATGAGCTACAGTTTCTTTCCTTGGTTATTGTCAGATGTATTCAGTCTAGCAAAGTTGTCACTTTCTATAGTCTTTTTTATAAATCATATCGTTCTTATTTTGCTAACAAAACAATTTCTTCATTTTGAACAATGTTTTATAAATAAGCTTAAAGACGTATTTATTTGGAAAGAGAACCGTAACAACCAAAGTATTTTGTTGACGAGAAATAAATTTCTTTATTTCACAACTTAGAAACGTGCTTCTCAAACTCTCGAAAGGATTTTTTGCATGCTCCTGATTCTGTTTTTGGCTCTTATCTTCCTTGCAAAACTTTTTAAATTACAAATGTAGAATTATAGTTAAAGTTTGAGCAGATGATAGACTAAAGGTTTGTTAATATTGCAGGTTAATTCCTTTAAATTAAAATATGTTTCGAACCAAAATGAAAAAATCGTTAGAATTTCTTTTTGTCTGACAATACTTTCCTAATCCAATTAATAAACAGTGCAATAAGTATTAAAATTATACATAATAGAATTGCATTATTTCGGAATGTTTTTCAATATCAAATAGTAGATTAACTATTAAACCTTTAGCCTAAAAATTGTTATTCATTTATCAATCCAGTAAATAAATAAACATAACTGAGAATATAAACAAATGCATGTATATATATATATATATATATATATATATATATATATATATAATTGATTATTTCTTTCAGATGAATTTGAACTTCATGGAAATAGAGATAGAATTTCTGCTTTATCGGGCATAATTATGATTAGCCAAATTTTGAAATATGAGTTATTTGTCCAATAATAATGCTAATATGTTATGGTGTTGAAGAACTTTTGAAATGTTTCACATTTAACTAAATGTAAGGAAAGCTACAGGTTTCGAATCAATCAAAGAGGAAGTTAGACTCATCCAGTGCAGTTGAGAGGAAAACTAGAAATATAGTAAAATCGATAGGGATATGTGAAATAACACCATAATGGTTGCAATTTGTGATGCTTAAATGATTATCTTTCTTATCAATATAAAACACTTTCTTATCAAACACGGTGTTGAACAGGAACCTTTAAGATGATACTTCGGATCTTGGATCCCTCATTAATTTTTAATGATAGTTTCCTTCGAATCAAAATGAAACATCAACAATTCGATAATGATGTTTGAAGTGAGTGTAGATCACCCCATCGATCACTAATGTTGAGTAAAATTACTTTTCCCAGCTCTTCAGCACTTTGTGACAGTTTTTCTAATCTGTTAAAATAGAACGGATTAACGATATCGAGATCGTTTCTTCTAATCATAAGTTATGCAGGTATTAGTGTCATCATACATTAGATAATATTCAAAAATCTGCTTTATTCTTTATTATTTCATTTTATCGTCAGGAAGTTGTACATTCAAGAAGTTAAGCACACAATACTTCAAACTTAAATAACACAAAAAAAAAATCACTGATTTTAAAGAGAACAATGATCCTTTCTCTGACTTCACATATCACTAAAATTTTCAATGAGGAATTGATTACTTTGTGAAAATTCTGGTATCATTGGAGATTTAACGACTAGGAACAATTTTTGGATCCAGAGTTTTGTTTCAAAAATTGACAGTTCAAAATTGGTGCTTCGTTTTTAAAAAGCAATGAATGCAGACTTTTGTTGACTCATTGATAGAGTTGAGATTAGCTAACACAACACTACTAATGGCTAATGGCTAGTGGTTAACGTAAACTACGGATTGGGTGGCATATCACATTATTTCAAATTACTGTTGTAATACTTTGCTATCATTTTTTCTTGTTTTCATTATTCCAAACGAATCACTTTATTTTACTATTTAATTGATGATTCTCCTCGCCGATACTTTTCCGCCTTCCACCACTGTTGGTAGCTCAAATTTGTAAAACTTCTTTTAGTCAGTTCTTTTGAAATATTTCGATTCATCTTCATGTCATTTGAAAAGGAAATGGAAAGAATGGGAGTCAATTTTCCATTTGTAATTTCTGTTTTTTTATCATATGAACACTTATCATAAGGAGCATAGCTGAACCTCGGACTAAGCTTTCAACCTGTTTATCATATCAGCATTGACTGCTTATTAAAATTCAGCGTAATCAACTATAATGGAATATAAAGCGGTGAAGTGTAAAATGTTAAATGCAATGGAATGTAAAATAGCACTATGAAATGTAAATTGCTATCAAGGCTATTTGCATTCAAAATTCGACGATCCACAAATTTTCTTGTATAAAATTTTCATAATAAGAATACGTGATCAGTTGTAGAAACAGCACTAATAAAGGCGAATTTGCTCCGTAGCAAACGAATACATTTAGTGCAGAGATGAAATCAGCGATTTCACTGACAGTTTCCTGTAATGGTCAGGATTGCTGGTTGATCTGAAATTATCAGCTTATCGATCTAAAGATAATCACATAGATATAATACTGAAGAGGAGAGGTATTCAAAATATAAATAATACCTATCGTTGCTGTAAGTGTGTAACCGAATACTCTGTAATTCAGATGAAGTAAGAATTTATATCTCGAACGAGCAAATGAACTGGTTTTAAATTTTAGAAAAGGTCAAACTTTTGACTAGAAGAAAATGTTGATAAAATGCAAACTGGCTACAACGTTAAGAGAAATACAACATGTATTTCATCATTATGTATAAATGATAAAATAATATAACATTTAGGAAGAACTGCCGAATTAGATCATTCTGATATTCGAAAGACTTGGCCAGCCACAAACGTTTATGGCTATTCCAAAAAAAAAAAAAAAAAAAAAAAAAACATAGATGATTATCTTCTAAGTGCATTTACGTATGACCTCCATCCAACCGTTATCACTCTAATATAGTTTGGTCAATCACGAGATTTGTACAACGAAAATTCTTAAATTTCAAATCAGGTGAAAGCAACACACTAACAGGTTTGGGTCACGGGTACTCAGCTCACTAAATTTATTCCATGTTTTAAAGACTGATTTGTATTGTTTCTTGTATTGGATCCTTCGAAAGATGAAAGGTGAATTTATACAGCAATGTTTGTAGATCAATTGCAAGAAGTGAATGTCCAAGTGAGTTGCATAAAAATGCAAGTGAATTATTTAAAAATTTCCAAAATATATCATAAACCTAACTTTCAATGATAAGAATTACTGCATCATTTTGTAATTAGCGTTACCCACCAGAAGAAAGAGATGAATTAAGAAGAGAAGCTACTATTTTTATCAATTATTTGGCGATTTTTTTTTCAGCCAATTCATAATTTCAGGAAAAGAAAGTCATCAACTTTCAATGATAAGAATTACTGCATCATTTTTGTATTTTGCAATAATAATTAATTTCATGCAATATTCATGATTTTAACTGATTTGTTTTTATTTCAGTTTGAATTCTATTTTCATAATTAGGAAATATTTTTGAAACAGGAAAGTAAATAGTCAGGAGTATAATAATTGGGAGAGATAAAAAGAGCGGTAATTGAGTATTTCTTTCTAAGCTTTTGCAATCATCACACCGAAAAATAAAAATAAAAATTCATGATTTTTTGCCCTTTCCTTGCAGATATTTAATTTTTCTTTTCGTACAGTGTATCGAATTTGCCGACTGAATTAACTCGGTCTTTTAATTAATAAAAATTGGTTAATGAGTTTAGTACAGAGATCAATATTAATCATAACAAAAAAGCTGCTTAAAATTGGATCAAAATGTATAGTAAATTGTATTTTGCCATTTTACATGCAATATAAGCTATTGCATGTAAAATGGTTTTCCAGGTTTTTAGTAGAACTTGAAAAGATTTCCAACTCTGCACGGTATTGAAGGAGTACAAGGATTAATTAATATACTTGATTAGAAGTGATAAGAAGTTTCCCGATATTTCTTCATTACGCGACAGTATTTCTTCAAGGTAGCTGCGAAGTGTACTAAATTGCGTTTTATCACCGCCTCATTAATCATTCACACTTCTGAACAATATGCATGTATAAAAATAGAATGATTTGGGGTAAGTGAGCGACGTAAACCAGTGGATACATTAACTATGTGAAAGCGATGGAAAGAAAGAAATGACATACACCTGCATATTCCAGTTTTTAAGACAGACTGAATGACGAATTCATCGTCGAAATTCTTTCATTTTATACTTCAAAAATGAAACTTCCGTAGTTTCGTTGAAAGCTTTCCATCTTTAGATGAAAATTTTTATTCTAATCAAAGGTAATTTGTTCAGAATAGATCATCATTTGGCAATGCTTTCTTCCATGGTATCATGGAACCTCCTGTGTATCCATTTGTAAATATCATCGACCATTTCAAGATGCCATACAAGTTGATATTTCAACATTATTAAATTAACAATTCCTAGCAGCAGTTTATTTGTTATCGGAATTATATATTAACATATTTTAAGATTTTGATGTTTTTTTCCTTTTTTTTTTTTCGGAACTATCAGTAGCCTTCTCAGCAGTAGAATCAATGTTGACTGCTTTAAGGAGTTGATATTTGCTACGTCGTAATCACGAGAGGAGGTATAATTAATGATCGGAAAAAACATATAATATTATTGCAGATTGCAAGAGATGATTGCTTAATGTTCTATTTTTGGGAGATAAGTTGTTTCGTGCTTATTTCTAAATAATTTTTTTGTGCATACTTGATAATTCGTCTGATATCAGAAATAAAACACAAGTTTATAATAAGTCCACAAGTTTATAATAAGTCTGCGCAAAACTTTGCTTTTAAAAGTTTATCGTAGTATTTCAACATGCACATTCCTCTCACTTCAACCTTCAATTTATGACTTTTAATCTCACGTAAAACTTTGGGCTGATAGAAAAAGATAACCTCAAAGCAAAAGGGTTGCAGTGGTCTTGCAATCGGTCGGCTGCGAACTCAATATTCATTCCTGAGTTATCTTCTGAAAAACAATTAAAAAGTAGCCGGTTTCCAATTGCGTCGTCTTTCCCGCATTCCTCCGTCTTCCTTTCCTTTCTCTTTTTTCTCTTCACCATCTTCTCCCATCATTCTCAATTAATTTAATATAATTTGGCGCAAAATTCTATGGTGAAAGAAATTCGTCCATTTCAACATGTTAAATAATATCTGCCCCAAGTTTTAGCGGAATACGTTTATGACATTTCTGTTTGCAGTATATTAACATTTTCTGTAAACTTAATGGAATTTTGTATTTATGGGAATAAAGTAATGTTATCCATAATTTTGATAGAATGAGAAGAAGAAATCTGGACGGTAATCCAAAATGGAAATGAATATTTATATTTCAGATTCTAAATAAGAAAAATAAGTCAGTTTGTTTCACTGCTGAAAAATAAATTTTTTTTTATTTTTAAGGTTAATCTCAGAATCTCAGTAGTAAATTATTATTCTCATGAGGATTTTTTACGCAATTATGAGGAGAAACTATTTTTTTTTTTACTTTTTTATTGTATTTGAAAATTTTCAACATCTGTTTTATTTTTTTTCTTAAACCGCTCTTGAAATTTATTCAGTACAATAGTATCAAAATCATTAATTTAGTTAAAATCTGTAAATCCTCTTCAAACTAAACTACAAGCAATTTGTATATGATTCGTACCCAACATCAAGAATTATAAAGCAATCTTGAAAGTATGCATGATGCTTGTATGAGATGAATGGTATGAATAGGTAGTTAAAAAGAAATTTTTTTTTGCATCTTTTTCATATCTAAAATTGATGTTGAAATGAACGAGAAGTGCTTCTGATTGTCAGCTCTTCGAACACTTCTAAAAATGGAAAGCAATTCTTGAAATACAGAAAGGTTTTTAACTAATACTAACGGCGATCGGATATTGTACCAGTAGACCCGGGTTATTAAAAAGAAATTGTCTCCCTCAAATTCGTATTTTCTCTCCAAAGATCTCTCTGTATCAACGATCCTTATCTACAACCATTTCTTTTGAATGGTAATTTAAGCAGAAGAATTTGGTATTTATTAGAAAATAGTTAGCAGTTCTTAAAGTATTTCCTTCAAAAGCCATTAAATTTAATTTCCTGATTGTTTGTAAATTAAAAAGAAGATGGCATTATCATTTGATTAAATTCGTTTGCTCGATTATGTTTGTTTGATTGTTTCTTGCATTTGCCTTCGTTAGTGCATTCCAAACAAGTTTCATAGAAAGATTTCTTGTCGTATCGTGACTAGCCAAAAGGAAATCTTCCAAATAGAATTAACTTCAACCATCGAAATGCATCGGAACTTTTATTTGCAAGTATTATTAAATCGTTGACGACCCAGATTTGTAGATTTTTTTTATACGATAAAAAAGAACACAGCCCCGATGGCGATGTCTTGTTTTTCAAACGACAAAGCACCGCGTGCAAATTCCGTAAGTTTCTTATTATATAACTTACAGAGAAAAGAGGAAGAATGAAGGAAAGAGGACATAGTGTCTAGTTGAAATTGAAACCATCTTTCACTTAAAATCGTGAAATTTCATGAAACTTGCAGGATGTAGAAGCCAGTATGTCATTGCCGCAATCCAAATCATTGAAATGGCTATTTAAACAAAATGAAACAATTATCCAAAAAGCAAAAAGGTCAGAATAACAAAGTTGTTTGGGAATACGTTAGGCTGTGAATATTTCTCTGATAAAAACTGAAATAAACAAAATTTTAAAACAATTAAATTGGAAATTGCAGCGTTTTAACACGACGAAAAACAAAGAATATCGAGCAACTTCATAGCATTTCTGAAAAATCGGTTCGAAATTACAGTTTTTCTTTTTTTTTTTTTTTGTGATTTCAGTGACATTTGTATGAAAAGTTTAACAATTTTGCATTTATTTCTGAAAGGATATTAAATATTAGTAATCATTTTATAATTTACATATTTTTGTAGGACGTATTTTTCTTGAAGAAGAAGCGCTGGCAGACTGCAATACTGGCAAATATTGGTTTCATTATAGCATTCGGAATTCGCTGCAATTTTGGTGCTGCGAAAGGACGAATGATTAATAATTTCACCGATCCATTTGGCAATAATTATGTATATATACGAATAAATTTTAATAATAACAGCAGCAATGATAGTGCTAATAATAATAACAATAAGAATAATTAATAATAATGAGAATAAGAATAATAATAATAATAATAATAGTAATAATAATAGTAATAATAATAATAATAGTAATAATAATAATAATAGTAATAATAATAATAATAGTAATAATAATAGTAATAATAATAATAATAGTAATAATAATAATAATAGTAATAATAATAATAATAGTAATAATAATAGTAATAATAATAATAATAGTAATAATAATAATAGTGATAATAATAGCAATAATAGTAAGTGTCCCAGGTGATTATGGGAAAGAAACGGATTGTGATGATTCCGACATTTCGGTCCAAAGAAACCAAAATCAAACAATGCTGCGAGCAACAAATTGTACAGTAATATAAAAGGATAGGTGCAGAATTTTCCATACGTTTGGTAACTTTATCGTATGTGTTCTGTTCAATGACTTCACAAAAGTAATGGATCTCTTTCAAGTCAAAATCTATCAGATATGATAACGCTATCAGAAGAAGTGAGTTAATCATTACAAATGCAAGTCGCTAATAAGGAGCCTACATGGGAGAGATATTGATTTATGTGTCAAATGAAAAATTGAAGTTTAGCCATTCGCGATCAGAAACGCTTTGAAAATGAAATACCAAACTGCATTGAACTTATGAACAATCTCAATAAAAAGGCAAAAGATACATACGTAAGGGTATGTGGAATATGTGTTGCAGATTAATCAGCAATGGTTTTATGATTTTCGAACTGTCGAGATAGAAGTAAGAGAGAGGACGAAATTGACACAAAATTTCTGGAATGAATCTAAGCCACATACAATAATATTAATCAAGCTAGGATAAGCCTGAAGCGATAAAGGTACTGGAATCAATTGCCTGGCTAAGTAATCTTAGGAGAACGACTAAAAGAAGCTACGAAACGGCCGACTCAAGTCTGAAGAAATGTTAATTTTAAATTTCGATCAAAGCAATTTGATGTAATATTACAGGTGACGATCCGAAAGGTAATCTAGCCAATTTTCTCAAGAATGAAAAAAATATAGGAGCAGTAACTCAGAGCCTAATGACCAGTATACTTTTTATAATCCACTGTTACCTGGATTAACCAGTAATTTACCTTATTCTTATGAATTTATTCCTAATAAAACAGAAAACAAATTTTCAAGATTGTCGAGGAAAACAGTCATCCACTAATCAAGGATACTATTGTGAGGAACTACAAGAGGAAAAAGTCAAATGTTCCTCTGGACATAATTAGATTGTGAGATAGCACAGTCATTTTCCAGGATAGACTTCCGATAAAGGAGACTTCAAAGAGATTTATTTCAATAAATCTCTTTGAATATAAGAAGATTTCAAGGAATTGCTTACAATATTCTGTGAATCACACCAAGTAAAAATGACTGAACTATGTAAAATCAATACATTAATGCAATTTGGAAGAGAAATGTCCAATTGAAATTGTCAAATACAGGTCGCATAACGGATGTGAAAACGATTGAAGAATAAAAAGCGATATAAATAAATAAATGTGCAATCTGCTCCCAGCGATTTGGTGTTTTTTGTAGAAATTAATTTAAAAGAATCATACTAGTATTTGAGAAGAAAGGAAAGTAATAATTGCAGATCGTACATTATTTTTGTATTAATTAAAAAAAAAAAAAAAAATATTTTATAGTTGAGGAAGAACCATTAAATGTAATATTAATGTAACGAAAGCTGATTAATAAATTTGACGATTAAATTAAAGTAATTGAAATGATCTTAGCTGAGTTACAATTTCAGACGACAAGTAGTTGTTAAATGAAGACAGATTAGAAATTAAGGACGACAGAAAGGAAAAGAAACCAAAATTACAGTTGCTTAGAATTGTTGAAAATCAAATCCTTACACCGGACAAATCAGTGTAAAATTGTATTAATTGTGTTTATTATAGACGCAGCAATTTTATTGGTCACCAACTGAGCTCGGTTTTATGGAGAGTGCGTTTTTCTATGGCTATGCTATTACACAAATACCAGGCGGTATGCTTGCAGCCAAATTTGCGCCGAATTTGTGAGCTTTTTGTTTTGCTGTTTATTTGTAAACATATGTTTCCTCGCGCATTTGGTCTTCGGCAAAATTATTTGGTAAGCAAAAGGATAAATATTGCAGATTATTCGGATTTTCAATACTCGTTGCTTCCGTCCTTAATTTATTTTTGGCGCTAGCACTAAGCGCACATCCACACACTGATTTCATTGTCCTCGCCATACAAATCTGTCAAGGCCTTTCACTGGTAAAATTTAAACTTGTTTTAAATGAGGCAGTTAGTTATTCAGTAATGTTAGCATTAGGATACATATGGCAATGACTCTTTACTTGCTAGAGCTCAGAAAATACTGTAAGTAGTTTGGTCTTATGCTTTGTCTCGATTTTTAAGATAAAAATTCCTTGTAGAAGAAGTTAAGAACGTGAAAATCACAAATTCCAGAATCCTCAGACAAGGAATTTAATTTATTAGAGAGATAGATTGCCTAGTTTTAATCACTAAATCGGACATATTATACCAAAAGCTTAAATGATTTTGGCATATTTCTGGGCAATGTGAAAGAAAAAAATTTCGTTTCATTCGAAAGATCATAGCTGTATTTCAAGGGACTAAGTTATCCAGCAATGCATGGTGTTTGGCGACATTGGGCACCACCGATGGAACGATCCAAACTTGCCACAACCACATTTACTGGTGGATATCTAGGAGTAATGATCGGTCTACCGATTTCTGCTTATCTTGTTTCGTATATCGACTGGTGTGCACCTTTTTATTTTTTTGGTAAGCCTAATTAGAATTCAATTCAAATCAATCAAATATTAAATTGAACATAAAGTGGTTGGAGGCAGTTATATCTGAATTTATAGGAGCTGCGGGGATATTGTGGTTTCCAATTTGGTTCGCTGTTAGTGCATCAACACCAGAAAAGAGTAAATCGATTTCGGATGACGAAAAACGATTTATTATCGAACAAGTTGGGCAAGTCACATCTTCACCAGCAACGGTATTATAAACTGGATTTTCCTGAAAAATATAACAATCGTAAAACTCTTTTTTCGTATATTGCGGAAGCACTAGAATTAATGTTTCTAGTAATATGGAAATCAGTATAAATTAGAAGTTTTAGCTAACAACGATTCCATGGAAAGAAATTTTGTTATCCGCACCGGTATGGGCAATTGTTATCAATAATTTTTGCCGTTCCTGGACTTTTTTTCTACTGCTTGGTAATCAATTAACATATATGAAGGATGTGTTGCACCTCGAAATACAAAGCGTAAGTTCACACATTTCTTCCGCTAAACAACCATAATATTTCACGAGATTTCTAGAATCAAATTTTTAGTGACTTATTTCCCAATTTTAGGGTGGTTTAATATCATCGCTACCGCATGCTCTGATGTCAGTAGTTGTGTTAGCTTCGGGTCAAATGGCCGATTACCTTCGCTCAACTGGTAAAATGTCAACTCAGATGGTTCGCAAATTATTCAACACATTAGGTTGGTTCTCATTCACAAACTTAAACTCAATCATTCAAAGATTTTTATCCATTCGAGCGATTGCCGAATTATGAAAAAGCGAAAACTTTAATTTCAAGTATAATTTTACCCGAGAAGTTAAATAAAAACATTATTACAATGGACTGTCATGCAAATAAAATTCGTCAGACACTGCTAAATCAGTTAGGAAGGAAATGATTACGAATCACCATCTCGGTATCTCTCATATCATAAGGTGCCACCAGCAAATATATTGCACCATTGCTGGATTAATTTTTGTGAGAGAAAAAGCTTCATTTGCAGGTTTTGGTGGTGAAGCGCTATTTCTTTGCTGCTTATCTCTTATCAGTGAACCATCTGCTGCAGTTACCACATTAATATTTGCTGCAGGATGTAGTGGCTTTGGTATCGCAGGTATGATAGATCTCCCCATTAAAACATTCCCGGGATTTCCCCCACATTACCCATTACGCCAAGCATACCCCATTAGAACAGTAGAACCGCAATTCGGCTTTTTCCTGTAATTCTCAGATAAACTATTCTAGTTACAGGATTCAATGTAAATCACTTCGATATAGCGCCAAGGTATGCTCCCATCCTCATGGGTTTCTCAAATGGTATTAGCGCTTTGGCTGGTGCTGGCGGTTTTATTCTGGAACACCTTGTCGCTACACAGGTTTGTTGTGCACGTTTCTGCATGTGATTTTACGAAATTAGTGAAGTTGTGTGTTACTTCGCAACATATCCTTTAATATCATCACATTCACTGAGTTACGATCTTGGCCTGGCGTAAAAACCACGTCGGTATCATTAAACTCCAAACCGTGAAGACTTCGCATCAGTCAATTCCACATCAACGGTCATTGCAGAGAAGAGCAAAAAGTGATTAGAATCCGTTTGAAAGAACATAACACAGCATGTCATCATTAGGACAAGAAACTCATAAAAAATCAATTAACTCATTTTGTCAAATAGTTTGGATGTTGACCATACAGCAAATTCTACACTATTCGCGAGAAAGAAATGCCCAAATTTTCAACCATGAATCGAAAAAATTGATCTAGGGTATCAAAGAAGGTTGGAGGATATCATTTTTGATAGCAGCTGCTATTGATCTCACTGCCATGATCATATTTATTTTATTCGCTAAGGGAGAACTCCAACAATGGGCCAAGGAAAAGGAGCCTCAGCAAAGCATGGAAGACATTGTTCGCCGACTATGTTAGTTCATTTTGCAATTTGATTAAAAAGTTGCGAGCAAAACTCACATTTCTAGTAATGATTGCACAACTAACAGCTCCGTAGAAAATTCTTTCGTAAATCCTAAAACATTTCACTAGCAACAAAAAAGCAAATCTTTTTGAAAATGGTAATAGATTTGACTTGCTCTATTAATTGGTCCTTCCAATTTTGTGAATTAATCCCACTCTGAACGGAAGTTTTAGCATACATTATGAGACGAATGTCATCTCGCCGACGGCCAGAATCAGGCGTAAAGCATGAGCGACTATGTGAAGAAAATGAAGCTAAAAGTGGCTGGTCTACAAGGGCAACAGTAGACAACGAGAATCAAGGAATGAAGAAGGTAGCTGAAAAAATAATCAAACTACCAATATCCAGCCAAATACTTTTAATTTTTTAATTTTAAATATTTCAAATTTAGCTGGTTCAACAAACTAAAACAAAGACGTTTACTTTGAGTTCAAATATTAATTCATCAATCAATATTCGGAAGCTTCCAGCGTGTTGCCCTCTATATATTTTCAAGAACAATCCCTTCCACTTAATTTCAGCAAGATACGACGCAACTCATTTCGACGTGAAAACAAATCAACAATGTATAATACATAATATTTTGGACGAGCGAAACATGGCTTATTAATTGGTCAAATAATCAACAAAGAACCAATGTTTCGTGAACAATAAGCCTTACAGTTGTGCAACTTTTGCAAAACATTAAAATCTCGTGGTTTTATGAAGTTCATACTGCTTAAACAACAGTTCCAACAAAAACATTAGAAGAATTAAAACAACAAAAAAAAAAAATTTTCCCCAAACCTGGAGAAGCAGAAATTCTCAGAAGTTTCAAATTCAAGAAAAAAAGAAAATAAAAAACGAGATCGGACACACGACAAAATATTAAAAGTTGGTATAGCTGAAAACATCCTGTTGTTTCGCCAATTCCAAAAGCATAGGATCATCAAAGAATTTGTTCACCGAAACATCTTCGCTAAGACCTTTTCGACGCCTGGTCTTTATCATGAATTCACGAGCTAAATGGGGTGCAGGCTGGAGTTCCAGAGGCCTTATCACGATACTTTTATCTAATGGATCGCCTGGTACTATCTGCAAAATTATGAAAAATTAGAACCTCCAGTTAATCCCACATATTATCTCTGAAATCCGAAAAAGAAAGTTATTTTGATTGTATGTTTTAAGATGCGTAAAGCGAATGAACTGAAAGAAATTCTAACAAATCTACAGCTGCGATTGTTGAGTCAAATTTAAATAAACTGATATGTACCTGCCAGTGACTGAAAACAGCTAAACAAAATGCCTGTCCTTGAGTATGAGTTCTCAAATCAGTTTCGAAACCAAATGAATCGATGACAGGTATGTAAGCTTTGATTGTATAAAGTGGTGATCCAGGAATAGGTGCATCAGTAGTCACGTGACCACGTCGTTTTGCCAATACTGTATACACCGAACTAACACAATCTGCTGGTGCTGTTACTTCCACAAAATAATATGGTTCCATTAAACGAGGAGTAGCCATCTTAATCAAAACCTTGATCAGACAAGTCCAATATTTCAATGAAATATTTATAAGATAAACTAATTTTTCATACATCGACAAATAAATTCCTTTGCCGCAGTTATTTTGGGTAACTATAATCTTCAAATTAGTCTTTTCATTTACTAAGAGACAAAAGATTAAGTTCAGAAGTTTTGTTTATCATACAAAAACTATTCTATTCAAAATAGGCAAAAATGCAGATAATGCAATACAGTGGTTTGTAACATCAAAAATTACCAGAAAAGCGGAGTAAGCGCATCGACGAGCTGTTGGAATGATCTGACCACCGCCACGGTATAATGGCTCATTTGCAATCACTGCATCCAACATCTTGAACTTGACATTACGTATTGCTGAAATCTGACAAAAATGCCTCCAATATTTCAAACAATATTTGACTTGTCGAAAATGCACAAATATCTGATGAAAATAAGATAACTGACGTTCTTCACAAAGTGGTCCCTCACGTGTAGCCCATTGAAAACCTTGCACAAGTGATTCACGAACTGTCCCCAACAGCTGTTTATCAACTTCTGATGGCAAAGTATCATCGAGAAGTACGTTTGGTCCAGTTGTGTCTGGACCAAAAGCCCAAATGCTTCGTGCTGCTAACAAATCCCAATCATACTTCGTCTGGAAAAATTCACCGAGACGTTTTCTATTCCATCCAATTTGGACTACTTCGTTTTCGATGTCCTCCGCAAGACCTTTCTCCAATGGCTCGGCTATCATTGTTAATTTATTTCTATAAAATGGAAAATTTTTGGAGATCAAAAATTTCTTTGAAACATGAGAAACTAATGCTAGAAATGAATTACAAAAATGAATAATTTTATGAACTTTTTATTAGGCGTTTCGGCAAAGCATTTCAGTGATGATGTTTCAACAACGGTTTCACAGAACGAGACAACAGGATCAGCCACTTTTATATCAATTTCCGAAAACACCTAAATTTAAGTGAATTTACGAGAAGTTGCATATACAGTAAAATAACACTATGTATTACTCTAGAGTAAACTAATCTAGCAAAACCAATCAGGAAATAAGCTTTTCGAGATTGTTTTTGATAAAAAATTCAAAAAATCTTTTTCAAAAAAAGAAAAAAATAAACTGATAATATGAACCTTCCGCATATCATGCATTACGCAGTCCATATAAAGCTCTCCCGTACCCAGCATAACATGTTCTCCAGACTCTTCAACACGAGTTGTTAGTAATGGATATGATTTGTTCACCTAAAAAAATTTTTAACTTAACTGCGTTCAACATAACTGCCAAATTCTACAAGCAAAAAAATCGTTGCAAAGAAAGACGTAAAGATTATGCTGTAAGGCAGAGAAGGAAAAACGTTTACAGCATAATCTTAATGATGCAAAGAAAAAAAAAAACCTTGTAAAAATCTCTTACTGAAAAACATACTTTACGCAAACCGTCGAGCATTTTTGGAAGCTCTGAAGGATTAATGGGTTCCACTGCGAGTTTGACAACTGACTTCGTGTTAAATTTCAAAGGTCGGAATATGTAAACCTTTAAAAAATTCAAAGGTTAATCTAAAGTCAAGTACATTGTACATTGTCTTCCAAGTAGTTGCTTCCTAAATCCGCAAAAACGTCTGAGAATTTCAGCTTACATCTTCGTCATATTCAACTTGTATTATAGTTGACGTTTTCACAATTGGTTGATCGATCCCTTCAATCAATACCCAATTTCCAGCTGGAACACGAGATACTTCCATTGAATACCTGCAACAAAGAAAAAAAAAATAAATAAAAGAAAAAAAAGTGTTCTAAAAATTAAAACATAAAAACAACAAAATAAAGAAACCTCGCAACGCTTATCCATAAGCGACCCACAGTCATAATCCTACAGTCTTCTTCATCTTGAATACTATAATTTTCACCAAGAATTCGAACCTGCAAAACATTTACAATTCAGACCTCTTTTGTTCTCGCAACAGTGAAAATCCGGCTTTCAATGCATTTAAAATTAATTTTACTGAAAGCTAAGAAGCCTAAAACTGAAAAAAAAAAAGTACGTCTTGTCCAGCATGTAATGTTCCACTGATAATTCGACCAAAAACGTGGAATGATGTAGCATCAGTTGTTGCATAATTCTTTGTAGTATGGACCATAAGAGGACCCTAAAGCAAATATATACTTCTTGGATTCTCAACTATTTCTGCAAAACTGAATATCTATCTTTTTAACCTGAAAAAAAAAAAAAAAAAAAAAAAAAAAGAACGCTTTAATTCTTACATAAGCATCACATTTCATGAGTGCCTGAGCCAACTTGCTGTCCATCGGTCCTAAATAAGTATGTTCCACTTTCGTGTTTGCATTATCTGATGGTGATTTGATATTTTGCGTAACGAGGTCGACAAAGGCTGAAATGAAGATTAATGTTGTCTAATAAAAAAAGCAACTACTATGAATCAGCTTCAATTACTTCAAAAATTCGTACGAAAGTCCAGAATCTTTTTTTTCCAAATTCATATACATGAAATAAAGCCAATAAGTGCATCACACAGTCCAAATATATACAGTTAAAATCGCCGAAGAAACGACGACAAATCAGGGCAATTAGTGGTCGTACATTCATTCGTTGCTCTTCTTTGGTTAATTTGATATTCAGTTCAGCCATCATTGATGGTAGGCATGTATCCACATCACCAACAACCTTAATAACAAAACATTATATGCAGCATACAGGAAAATTCAATCAAATGACGATGACACAGCGACTGCTAACCTGAGAAAATATTTTATAAAGCGGCTCAAGAACAAATTCTACAAACGATCGTGAAGCCCCTTGATGTGGCGGTTTTTTCACAAATTTCCGGGTTTTTTTGTCAAAATACTGATCTCCCCACAAGCGTCTTGCAAATTCCTCTCCACTAAATGTTCCTGTAAAATTAGAGAATGAAAAATGCAAAGCCATAAGAATTTCACAAGAAAAATGAAATGGTGGATTTTCTAAAAATATAAAAGTTTCTGTAAATCAAACATACCATAATTATTGGAATAAAGTTCAGCGAAACTTCTTAACGAAAAGCATATGTTGTATCTAGAACTAGAGAAAACCACGTTGTTAAGCAAAGGTGAAATCTTCACTGCTTCATTCTCATCGCTGAAAGTTCTGAAAACAAAATTTCGAAAAATAAAAACAAACACAACTGCCTTCTTATGGAAAACAAGTTATATAAAATGAAAAGAGTTCAAACTGTGTACAAGCTCACTGAAGTAAACTATTGATTTGGTCCAGAACAAAACGAAGTTTATAATAAGCATCTGTGGGAGGCAATTTCAGCTCTAATATCAACCGATCAATTTTGTTTATGCAGACAGTAACCGGTAAGCGCTCTTGCACAGCGTGCCGAATTGCTCTTTCAGTTTGTAACATAACCTAAAAATTTACGCAGTTTAAGCTGCACAAAACTCGAGGATTATTCATATTTTAGGATTATTCATATTAAAATGATAGAACTCACTCCCTCATGTGCATCTACGACAACTACTGCACCGTCACTTAAACGATATGCTGCCGTTACTTCATCCGAAAAATTGACATGCCCTGAAAATCATTAATTAGGAAAGCTTTTCATTATGCAGCAAGCAACGATCCTCAATTATTATAAAAATGCAAATTACCTGGTGTATCGATTATATTCAACAGGAAGCTTTTTTGACGTGAATCTTGCATGACAATAGTAATTGGTGTAGCTTTAATACTGCAACCGCGTTGCTGCTCAATGAATAAAGTGTCCGTATAACGAGTATCTGAATCTTCACCACGAACAAATTCTGGATGTGTCTGTTCCATTAAACAGTCTATGAAAGTAGTCTGAAAAAACAAGAATAATAATCAGACTTTCTTTCGTTTTCATACTGTCTAAGAAAATACAGTTCTGTTTATCTGAACAGAAGTTTTCCATTCTTCTTAATTAAATGAAAATTGATAAATAAATTACGTATATTTGAAAGTTTACTTTTCCGTGATGGAGATGACCAACAATTGCAATGTTCCGCATAACATGAGGACAGTCCATCAGATCAGCAAGATACTCCTTACTGTATGTTGTTTCCGGTAAAGCATGCTCGAGTGCCTGAAAAATAATAATAATCCATGAACAAATTAACGAGAAAAAAAACAGAAAAAACATTCCAAAATTAAGTTAATCTTTCAATGAAATTGAAAGTCTAACGAACTGACTTGAAATTTCCTTTGTTTTACAGGTTTTATGATTGGTTCCGTTAAGGGTTGGGCATCTTCTTCTTGCACAATTGTTTCAACGTCCTCTCCATAAATCTGAAATGTTATCTTCGACTGAAAATTCTAAAATACGAACCAAATAAAATTTTCCTGTTTAAATCACATAAGGCTGTCGAGAATAAGAGATGCATGTTTCCGAGAAATCAAGCTTACAACTGGTGTATACGAAACATACTTCTACCGCTGTCGCATAATATTTCTTATCTTCGTGCAATACGATCTGATTCGACGGTATTTGATCGGCATCTTCATTCATTGCCTCATCATCCTGAAGATTGATGCATGAATTCAGATTTCGATTAAAAACAATGATTTCAGATCAAACTGAATTATTTCTTAATCCAGCCAGTTTCTATTCGTAAATAAAGCAAATCACGAAGTACTAGAAGTGTTATAGAAGAAAACAGAAATAACAGAAAGTGTATGCAACAAAAAAATACCTCCTCTTCCTCCTTTCCATCACCATCCAATTTTTGAATGCCCGAAGCAAGAGTATCTTCTTCTTCCTCATCATCCGAATCCAATTCAGGTCCTACATAATTGCCAAATTCATCATACAAATCCGTATCCATTGCTTTAAAATGTCCTGAAAATCGCTCTCCAATTCTCTTCCTCTGTTTTGTCATTATATGAAATCAATCATACTCAAGACATCTAGCAGGCTTAAAAGGCTTCTACCACTTTTCTCACGAAAAACAACATTTACTCAACAAACAGTCAACCGATGTAGGTAAAGCAACAGCGGAAGTGATCTTAGCAACTTATCCATCGACCTGGCGAATATAAAATAGCAGTGTATTGAACTGATGGAGAAGAGGATTGGGAAGTGAAAGAGAAGTTGAAGGAGTTCAAATAAAATGAGAGGCAGAGTAGCAAGATGATAGAATTCCCGGATAGCTGCGTCGAGTGAATAAGAATCACAAAGTGTGTGTGTATTTGAAGGAGACGCAGAGAATGGTAAGGTTATGATGTAGCGCAGAGGTTGGATGAATTCTGTGAGGGCAATAGAGAGTGCTCGCAAATGATGAGAATGTTGGGGGAAAGGAGAGGAAAGGGATGACTGAAGAGTGGTGGGAGAGATTCCGGGTCCGTCTTCTCACGTTTTTCTAATTCTGGGGAAGTGTGTTCTGGCCGAGTGCGCTTCTTATTCTAGCTGCAAGGAATTTTTGGCTTTTCTTGCACGTGATTATACTCAGTCAAGTGTATAACATTCAATTGACCTCATTTAACTCAATATATTTATGAGAATTCTCGAAGTGAGAATTTGATAATTGAAGGTCACAGATTACTGGGGGATCAATGATGCCTGGAATGCGTGCGGGTATATCACTTACCTCGGGTTTGGTACTTGGTGTACTCTTGTCAGTACTATTATTTCTACCTGACGAACTGATCCCTCCAAAAACATCGGACGAGGAGTTACCAAGTGAGCACTGGGAAGTTATCATCAAAAAAGTCGCAACTGCAGCTAATGGTCAATTTCAGACCCGGAAGGTTGTCTTTATTGATAGTCATTATTAATTTATAAATATTAAAGTTTTGTGATGAGTTGCAGTAATGACTTGAAGTGAAGCACTAATCGAATATGCATAACTTGAAAATGCAGAATCTCATCTAGTATGATGGATGGGAGTTTGAATTGATGTACACTGTCTGGATGTGTGTCCTCTATAATACGTTGTTACGGATTCAAAAAAAAAAAAAAAAAAATTTCTTGATGTTATTTCTTGAGCCACATTAGTTTGTTTTAGATTGTTAGAGCTGGATTTGCAGCAACTGAATTGGGAATACGGGACAAAGTTGTGGTCCTCATTCTCGGACAGTCTTCATTAATGGTCGCGTTGAATGCATCCATCGGTCGGCATGTACCTCACTTACAGCTTTTCGCTGATATCTCTCGTATCGATAGTGACATAGCCAGTCTTCCCAATCTCACACCATACAGATTAAATGGACAGCACTCACACATACCAGTTCTCAATCTTATTTTTAATATGGTCGGTGTTGATTATCGACAATGCCATATACAGCATAATTCATACTCCACGTTATTACTTATTACAAGAATGTTTTTTCGAGCCTATAATACTGTGAGTTGGAAATTGAGTCGAAGTGTAACAATTTTCTAAACTAAGAAACAAGGTAATTGCTTATTTTGGCTTCCAGCGTCATATTTTGAATTTCTGTTTAAATTTTAGACTATGCACGAAAAATTTGACTGGTATTACGTGATACCTGACACGACATACGTAAATCCATTTGAACTGATGCGATTTGTTAATCACGTGGACTGGAACCGTCGTGTAATTATTGGTGTTGGAAGTGGAGACGATTCAAACAGATGTAGTTTGCAAGCTGGAATCTTACTAACAAATTTTGCTATGCAATCGCTTATACAGTAAGAGATAGTCCAATTCGTTTTTAATTTCTTCGCAAATTTCAAATTAAAATAATTGCACTGTTATCTACAGAGTTAAATGAACGATATAACAGAGAAGTTGGTAGCAAAAGGTAAATTCCACTTCTATTATTGTCATCATTAATTCCAAGTAAGTGGCTCTTAGTCAATATTCAAGCACTTCATTACAGGAACAGAAACTTGTGCAGTTCCATATCCAGCCGTTCAGATCACAGTGCATTCGAGCTATGCATTCATCTTGCAACAAATTTGTCGTGCACCAGTTACTACCAGGTTTTTATTCGAACTCAGTATCTTCTGCTTTGTCATTTTTCTTTACATCATTATTTTTGTTGATTTTTTCAGAGTCAAACATATCACTGGTGGAAAGTCAATGGATTATCTGAAAGCGGCAGTGGTACAGCAATACATGATACTGTTGGGTGGTGGGCATCATCGTCGCAAAATTTTAATCGGTAAATTATTCAGTTTCGAATTTTTCATTACTGCGAGTAATTTTATTCCATAGATGTATTATGTTTCGTGTGAATTCAAAAAAGAGTCATAAAGGCTTGGTGTTTTTCAGATCACTGAGTGTTTCACCTTTGCTTTCGGACGTAGATGCTCATGCGCTTCATCAGCATTTCTTACATGTCGAATTGAATCGTACAGAATATGAAATTGGTCGCTTATCTGCTGAAATTGTTTCATTATCGTATGATATTAATGACGGTCCGTCACAGCCTGCTGGTTTACCACCATATTCAAAAGCACCAGATCGGTATCAGGTCTTTTCTAGACCTTTTTTTACATAGTTTAAATCAGTTTAAGCAATCTAGTGCAAAGATAACTAACTAAATTTAATTTTCAGGTTCCGAAATGGCATTTCTTTACAAACACAGAAATTTTCAAAAACGAAGCGAATCAAAATGTTTACGCATTAACTGGAGATGATAAGTTGGATGTTGAAGAAGTTTGTTACTATGTGTCAGGTTTATACTTACATAGTTCCAAGTCCAATAATTTTCATCAGAATTGACTTAATTTGCATTTCTCCTTTGCAGTTTGCTGAAAAGCCAAAACCTCTTGGTTTTGGCTTTTAATTCAGATTGATTTTATTTATAGACCAGTTTTCTTTTAGATAGTTGCAGCAGCTCGAAAATTTATTGAAGAAAGTGATGAAGGAAGTGATGAAGAATTTTTGCAACTTCGAAATGGCTATCGTTTGTTTGATCCATTGCGGGGTATGGACTATATTGTAGACTTGTTATATCGTAACAAATATGGTGGTAAGGTGCATCGCGTTCATCTGACCCGAATAATATCTAATAATCAACTTTTACAACAAGTAAGTTCTTTGATGTTGATTTTTTTTTTATGCTTTTTAAAAAAAATTTGTTGATTAATTTTACTGTGTATTTTTTATTATTGTGTGGTTTTTATTGTTATTTCATCACTCATATTCTCCACTTCTATTATTTTCATCATTCATATTCTCCATTTTTCCGGCTTTTTTATGTTAAAAGTAAAATTTTTGAATAATAATAGTAATAGTATTGAGGAGTTACCATATCTAAAAAGAAATATTATTGAGGTACCTTATGTAAAAGAAGATACTGATTTAACAATCTTAATACCGCTTGGATCAAATGATGAAGTGGGCGCTGTTCGTCGACTTATAGCTCATTATGTGAGCCTATGCCAGTCATCAGTTGGTGATAACCGACAAACCAGATTGATTGTGGCTGTACGTGGTGTTGATCCTTTCGTCATTCGCCTAATTAACGATGATATTATTGAATTAAGAATACGGTATTTTGAAATTTTTAATGTATGTTAAGTCTTTGTTCCTTACAAAACAAAAGTTCTGGGAATTAGTTTCTCAAAATGCAAGAATTTCAACTTATTATTGCGTCTTATCATTTGTCTCATTTTTTCAGGTGTAAACCAGCACAAACAGAAACTATGTTATTAATATTGAAGCAGGATAGTCATCCGATTATGGCAGCGGCAGCACTGGATGAAGCTGTTGATCATTTTGGCCAGCAAATGATGTATCTGTTGTTATCTCCGCATGCTGACATTCAGCATGAATTTCTTGATCGAGTGCGCTTAAATACTATCAAACATTTTCAAGTAGGGAATTTTAAGATTGATATAGTAACAATTCTGATAATATGTATTTGGTACACTATATCTCTTCTATATTATGAAACCTCGTGATAGTTCTTCTATACACAGCATCAGCGATTAGATGCTTTTCAGAATAATATGTTTCCTTAGGTGGGATCGCGGTGTGTTTCATATGGGTAACCCGTTATGTGTAGTCGCTGCGATAATATTAGATGCATTTGTAACTATCAACTTATAATTCTCATTTTTTATGATTTTTCATGTTGCTGCTTCTGCTATCAGTCAGCTTATATCGTTTTTGAAGGTATTCTTTCCGCTTCCGTTTGTGGAATATCATCCTCGAATTGTGAGCGCAAATGAAGCACTACAATCAAAACTGAAAGGCCTTAACGTCGAGAGAGCTCACGAAATGGGTGACACTGATCAAAAAGCCCGATCACTGGAAATGAATGGTGCAGATACATTTATGAGCAAGTTCCGTGATGCTACTTTTAAACGAAATACACGGCCACTTATTGTTCATAAGGTGGGTTTGATGGACTGATAAAGTTGACATTTTATGACTGTCATATTTTTTCGTAAGCGATTGTACTGTGGAAGGTGTAGAGTACCGAATTAGTTTGGTCATGAGCAAAGAAGCCGATTAAAGCAATTGAAATATCAATCTGTTTAGATAGAGATCGTTATGGTGTGAACTCGGTTCACTCTGTTACATACATACATACATTTTTTTAGCAATGTTTTGAAAATATTGTTGTGGAATAAAAATAAGCAAATATTTCAGGATCGAGGTCACTTCGATCCCTTGGATTTTTCTGTCTTTTCTTTGTACGGTGCAGATTTCATACAAACTCGTTCACGCTTGAATAGTAAATCATTGCTGTTAGATTTGTCATCACTGTTTCTTGGTCATCAGAGTATCCACATGATGCGAGCCATTGAGCCAGCTCTGCGGCTACGGTACCACAGTCGAGTTTGTAATCCGGAATTAGTGGATACGCACTATGCTCGTTGTTTACTTAGGCGACGTGAAGGACTTGCTTCTAAGGCACAGTTAGCTAATTTGTTGCTCAGTCGGAAAGCGAGGAAGATGGTAGTTGTTTAAATTGATGCTGTTAAAACAATCTTCGGAAGTCTTTTTTATCTTTTTGAAAAATATGTCATTGAAAATTTTGATTTTTACTCATATGAAAAGTTATAGGCGATATATCAGTTAAATTCTTTGAAGAACAACCTTAATATTCTTGTTGGATATGTTGTTTTGGAGTACTTTCGTATGTTTTTTTTTCGTAAAAAAGTTAAAAAAAATTTCCTTCTGAACTGATTAATCTGTCTGCTCATTTTGTAATGTTTATATTTACTCAAAATTTGCTAATAATTGTTGTATTAGTGCTCAATTTGGTTGTGTTAATACTTTATGAACTTTCGTTTCAGTACCCAGCTGTACATTCTCATCTGTTATGAAGTTGAAAGACGTGATTTTTTTTTGCTTGCGTGCAAAATAACTGTTATTACCAGTTGTTTTTCAATTCCAACAAAGTTTTTAGCTGTAATGAACTTGTTTTTCAGCAAATAAGGTCAGTAAGATTACTTGAATTGTTTGCATTTCATATCTGAGAATCAGTTTTTTTTTTCAGCTGTATCAAAAAAAGTGGAAATTTCTGTTACATTTAATGAAAAAGATAACCCCCTGTAAAGGAAATCCTTGTTAAATTTTTTAGTCCATTTATAAATGCGTAAGATTAAACGTATGTATGACTTTTATTTGTTAATTGACTATTAAAGTTCTTTTATTTGCTTGTTGATTTCAAACGCGCTTTGTTTTTTCATGTGCGTACTTTTCTTTTCTTTTTTTGCACAACACATGGATCTGTTTTTCTTTTTTTTTAAAGCAATGACAGAATATTTCTTCTGATTTTCTCTAGCTGACATTGTTATGACTAAGGACGTCAGTAACAAATTTATAATTTTGAAATGCCCTGCATCACGAGTTGCTTGACTGATTGCTATTTTGAGGACTTTTATTGATAGCTATATAGAATATTGCAGGTTATCTTCGTTAGGAATGCAGTCTTAGTGACTTTTTGCGACTTTAAGGCTGCGTTTATGGCACATATTGTTATGGGTCGTGTGGAATATACTGGTACTAACGATATGTTTTCTGGAAGAAGTGGTGCAGGTAAAATTCTTTATTATCAGTTAATGATAGCTATTGTTTATAAAGCTTAGGCTTTCTACGGATTTACTATGTTGTGGACATGCTTCAATTAAATTGAAAAACCATGTGGTTTAAAACTTTTTAAATCTTATTGCTCACGTTTAGGTTTTATAATACAAAATGGGGGCGTTGTACCGCCATCACTTCTCCAGGAAAACCGTGTCCCTCTTTTCTACAAGGAAGCTATTGCTAAGTGTGGTGCTGCAAGTCAGTCGCAGTTACCTGATACTACACTTGTTTGTAATCTAATGGTCACATCATGCCTTCCGCGGGCTATACTCGGTAATATATGGTCATTGGTGAATAGGACCATGCCTGGTCAACTTACGCGACAAGAATTCTTCTCATACTTAGCACTTATTGCACTAATACAGGTAAGCTTTTGTTGTTATCGGTTTCATTTTTTTTATTTGGATTATTTTGTTTCGAACAAAATAATGCAGTATTTAAATGAACAAGCCTTCTCTTTTGTTTTAGTTTTCATTGGTTAATTTGTAATGACATTTTTAACATTTTTAAGACAGTAGGAACCTACATTGCATAGACTCGACTCAAAGAAAAGAAAGTGGTGGTATAATACACAAAGGATTTTTTTACTTGGTGTATAAATTATACATAAAGCAAAGAAGGGTTGGGTGTATTTAATGTATTTAGGATGTGATTGTATTTGCTAATATGTAAAAAATTGATTACAAATAAGTCGGGAAACAAAAACCTTCCGAGTCATTTTGAGCAATTTAATGAAAAATATTGATTTAGCAAAATATATGCATTGCTTTTTTCCTAGTTTTAAATTTTTATTGTCTCTTTTTGACGAAAATTTTCCAGAAAGGCCAACCATTATCGGCTTTATCAACAATGTCTATACTTCCAATTCCACATTTGCAAGCATGCGCGCCATTTGCGCAGCATTTGCCTGATGGAGATATTTTTCAACAGCAGGGGTTTTGTCAAACTGTACAAAAAGCTTCTGACTTCTCGGGGGTAGCAGCAAATCTACATACAGTAGCAACAAGCGCAGTATCTCTTCTCGCAGATATTGACTTTTCCAAACCAATCGGTAATTCAACGACAATATCCGTTACACAGATTCCTACTTCACAATCATATCCATCAATCAGCACTGTTAATACATCTCATATGGATAGTTCTGCTTCGGAAACTCAAACTGCGATCGTTCTTGCTTCAAATCAGTTTTTCGATATTACGACTGATTTGAATAATCACTTTCTCTCGAAAGATATTTGCCAATTAACAAACAATCCTTTGAAAAATTCTGGATCACCGGGTGACATTATGAATGTTGTCTCTAATATATTGAAGCCAAATCCACAAACTACGCTTCCGGAAACGATTCCTCCTAGTGGTAATAGTTCGACAAATATTAATATGGATAAAACTGCAGGAATTCTAGAATCAGGTACGAAGTGTGGTTTTTCTTATTCATTCAAATTCCTAGTTCTTATAGGTTACTTAATTTCTAATTTTTCATTCCTTGTAACAATATTCATTTTTTCAGACAGCAAAACTGTTAGCACCAAAAAATGAAACTAAATGTGAATAAAAGTAGCACTAGTGTCTCATCGAAGCTATTCATAGTTCGATTATTAAGCTTGCTAGAATTTTGTTTTTATAAATTTTTTTTCCTAATTTCTGCAAAATTTTTTTATAATTTCAGGTTTAGACGTTTATGCGAGCATGAAATTGATAACCAGTGTGAGCGAAGAGAGAGAAGTATGTTCGTTTGTTTTATTTTACTGCTTAGTTTTACTTGATTTTTTTTTTTTTTTTTCGACAATTTTAATTTTATTTGACCGTTTAGTTTGGATTATAAAGAACAAATTCCATATGACATAAGTAACGAAAAAAGAAGAAAAATAATTTTATCGAAATTGCTGTTAAGCAGATATTTTGTAGGAAGAACGTCTTTATGTTTGGCGACGTTGCATTGAAGAAGCATATGCATTGCTAAATGATGCTGATTCATTACTGCCTTGTTCAGCAGCGGCATATATTGCGGAAATCGTTCTTACTGATCGTGGTTCAAGATACTTAAATTCACTTCATCAAATCTATAAAATGGTTAGCAGTTGGTACTTTATATATATATATATTTAAAAATTGGAAGAGAAACAGGTGTCATACTCCTACCCTTTTCAACAAACTTATTTTAAATATGACTGATTGCGTAGTTCTCAAGGTAATGGTGAAAGTGAGATGGATTTTAGATAAATGCAATCCATCATTAAAGGAGAGAAGTTTAATATGAAACGAAAAAGATTACGCTGTGCTAAGAAGAAACTTTATTTTTAAAGCACTCGGTATTTACTATTCGTAGTGTAAAATGATAGGATAATTGGTTGAAGAAAATATCGAAATCACTTTGAAAATGAATTTTTAGAGCAGTAGATATTAATTTTATCATTTTCTTCAGTTTGGCAAAACAATATAATATAGTGAAACATTTCGCTTCTGCGGTAATTGTATTAATGAATCATTTTTGCAGACATTAAGAATACGGAAAGGGAGAGTAGATAAACTAGTTAAGCAGAAAGAATTGCTTTATAAAATCGACAAAATATGGGCTCGTCTGGAATATTTTATAGAGGAAAGCATTAATAATGAAGATGCAAATCAGCTAGCAGAAACAGTCAACAAAACCATTTCTTCATTATGTGGTATTTGCTTGTTGCACATTTCCCCAAATTCCATACTTGAATTTACCGGTACTGTATACCATAAGCAGTGTGCTAATTTATGGATTAATCGAGTCGACTCGTTTCTACCTAAATTGAAAGAATGCTAAATTTCTCAGAAATCTGTATAATTCATTCTAAGTTTTACTTTATTTGGTGAAATGAGTTATCGTAATTACTTAGACACTCCTGTTCTCACTTTTATCTATTGCTAATGTGAATTTAGATCAGCTGATTTTATTTCATTTGAATCAATTGGCAAGATAGAGAATTTGTGTATTTATTATAATATTTTTAGGTTGGTTGAGAATGCAGAAATTATAGTTACTACTATTATTTTTTTGAGAAATATTGTAGTGGTCTGATATAACGCTTCCTCTTTTTTTTAACATTCTGCATAGTGCCTTTCAACCGTTTTACCACTTACTGCACCACTTATTGTGTTTCCCAAATTGGTTGAAAAGATCTGTCATATTCCATATATTTACCTATGGAATCTTTTCCTTTCCTGTCTTTCTGCTTTACCGATTGTCATTGTTTGAAGATTTTTTTTTTTTTGATATAATGCATTACTCATGAAAATTAGCACTGTCCCCAAGTTGGTAAACGAAATCAGGTCATTCAAATGGAAAAAGGTAGAAAGTAACTGCTACAAAAAGGTGAGAGAATGTAACACTATCATTTCTTCTGCTTATTTCATCGAGTTGTAGTGTCACCGTAGACAGCTAACCTTTGTTTAATTTTTTACATGACATGTAATTTGTCGACCTATTATTAGCATGTATTCTCTTGTTTAAAAGTAAATGGCTTGTATAATAAAGTTTTTGACACCCGAAATATTTTTTTATTTTATTCACCCATATAACTGATATGGTAAAGATTTCATTTGAATTCTGACCAGTTTTTTAAGCCTTGGTGAATACATACATTTAACTTCTGGACCCTATGAAATAATGCTTTTTTCCCAAAAAAGAGTAGGATTCTCTCACTGAAGTAAATGCAACATTACCACCATACATAGCATACCTAGTTTCGGCTGTGTGAAATTTAATTTCTAAAAAAAAGAAATACCAAACCCTGAGTAACAATTGTGATTTGTCAATTCTATATTCCCAGATGTTTTAGTTCTCAGAAAATTATGGTTGAAATGTTTTCAGATTCCAACTTATCTTTTCAAGTTTTTTGGTAATCAAAAAGAAAATGAAAGTATTGGCTGAAGTGGGAAGCATGCTAACTTAATACTAGATATTTTCTTTTTTTTGATCTCAAAATTAACTATATTGGTGTTTTCGAGAAATTTATTGCGCAAATCTCAACCCTTCTAATTATTTTCATTTTTGTCTTCTTTTTCTATCCGCTTTTCCTGCTTATTGCTATCACTGAAGAATATCATTTACATCAATCAAACTATAGGTGGAATGTCGCCCTTTTATGTAGCATGGAGCCATATCGGTTCAGTATCAACGATTTCTCCTTTGTTTTCTTTTGTGCAGAGAGAGACGGAGGAAAAATTAATACATTTTCCACAGATTAGACAATAAAATACAAGCTAACAAAATTACCTTAGATAAAGGAAAGTTCAGTTACTTATTCATCTCAGCTTCAACTTCAGATAATTGATCATTAGAATCATTTCTGAAAAATTGACAATTTACTTGAAAAAACTTATGAGGGGTCACAGCTGACATATATGTACATTAAAAGAAATATATCGTAGGTATACAGGAAGTTCGATAATCACTTATCTGAAAGATTCCAAAGAATTCCGTAATTTTCATAAGACAGAAACATTTTCAACTCATCATCTTTTGATTTCCTTATTGCATATTCATGCAAAGAATTTTCAGATGCCTTTTTGTATTTTAGTGCTATTAGAGATTCGGGATAATAGTTATTATCCTACGATCAACACCTGAGATTTCATGCCGAATATTTCTGAATCACTTACTTGTAATTAATGCATACTTTCAGGAATCAATTTTCTTATTTTCGGTAATCCGTTTTACTTTGGTCCTGAATCGACTAATGTTTCTTTATCTTTAAACTTATCTTCTGAACTTTTTAAATAATGGTCATCCTTCGGTTCGCTATCGTCATTAAAAAAACTAAATATTTTGTCAGGAGTTAATGATAATGATAGTTTTATAGGAGAAATAGCAGGATCAGTAGTCATAGCAATGGGAGTGGCACCGTATAATTCAATAGAAAGAGATGCCTCGCATTTTCCTGGTCCTGAATTATTGGAAAGCTCTTCTCCTGTCTCATCTTTATTTTCGGAATTCGATTTTACATTCATTTTGATATGATTCGTTTCGGAAACAACTGAAAATATTCCTGTTCTGTCATCTTGCTCGATTGATCTTGAATAACTGCTTATGTCTATTTCTCTCCCTTCCGATTCCTTATGCAGAATCTGAACAATCCTATTTTCTGTTAGACTGTCTGTTCTTGACACTTTATTATTACTTTTGTATTCTGCAACTTCTTTTGTTATAATCTCCTCTACAGGTATTGATCGTGCAGGAAACAGTCTTGTCTCATCTTCAATTGTGCTAGCAACCAATAACTGTCTTTCCTCGATAAGTGTTGCTTCTGGTTTCGATCCCTTATTAATAGCAGATGCTGGAGATAATTTCGTTGACATTTGAGAAAATCCAGTTTTGGTAAATTCTTTTTCTACCGGAGCTTTCCTTCCACTCCCAGCTTTTTGGCTTTTCTGCTGTCTGTCTTTAGCAACAACCTTTTTCATCAATTTTGCTTTATCGTTCTCTGATTCCAGGTTCTTTTTCACGAAATCCATGAACTTCTCACTTCTTTCTTTTGACTGATTGGTGGATATTAATGAACGTGTGTCTTTCTTGGCTACCATTCCACTTGGCTTTTGCGTGATTCCATCGATTCGTCTTATCTGAACATCCGTTGATGCACCTACTGAAAGTTATATTAATACTACAAAAAATGAGTATTTGATTGACAATTCAAAATGAGCTGAAGATTTAAATTAGTAGGAAGATTTGTCGGTGAAAGAATGTGAACAAACTATTTGAATGGAGAAAAAAGAACGAAGGGAAGAAACCTGTCTTGGAGCGTGATATTGGAAAAGTTGGTGTCGTGCAAGATCGTCGCCCAACTTGCGGATAAATTCTATCATATTCTTTTGTTACACCGCATAAATGCGACAAAATGCGTGGTGTTGACGAGCCAAACGCGAACGTTCCACGTATCACTCGATCTCTAGAACCTTCTCGACTTCCTGCAAGAAACTTGAATTCAGAGATGTTTGCACATATCTTATTCTCTTTTCAGTTTTACTAAGCGAACTAATTAGTAATTCTCAACTGTCTAAATGGAAGAATAAATGGCAATCCCTCACTACTTTTATTATCATTTTTTGTTTAACAGTCCATCATTATTTGTCAACACTTTATTGCCGTAGCTGTATATGCTTCCAAAGCAATCTTTTAGTAGTTTAATATGTGAAATTCAGGTTTTGGGGCGTTCAGCAATTTATTATTCGGTCCCTCTTATTTATCGCATACATTTTCTCACTTACCATATGTCAGTTTTAATATTTTTCTCCTTCTTGCAACTTTTACTGCTGATATGGAAAAGTGAAACTAGGATGTTATCAAATAAAAGACGAGGAAAGGAGAAATGCCCTCCTTTGAAGTATTTGAAGGAAGGTATTCCTGCTTCTTTGAAGTTAGAAAAAGAGAATAGCCAGAATAGCCAATTCTTCTGTTCGGCTTTCATAAGTCTACAAAGAGAAAGATCCATTAAAGTGATGTTTGAGACGCATTGTTTTAAAAGAATGTTTGAAATAAGAAAAATTATTTAAAACTTAGGATTTTTTGATGCTTTTGGGATTAAAGTAGAAATAGCATTTTCAAATGGTATATTTTCATAAAAATCTGTGTTGTTTAATTTAGTATTTTCTCAGAAAAGGCTGAACTGAAGAATAAAACTAACACAATTATTTACATTACTCTCAATCTATGCTTTCAGATTTCTTGGTATTCTTGAAATATTAGAGATTTTTAAAATTTACGTTCTTTTTTCTTGCAGTAACTATTGGATTTTGGAAAGAACTGAAAATTTTGGCTCATCAAATAGCTAGAAAGATTTTAGCTCGTTTCACCATCATACTGCATAATTTTTTCTTTAAAATGCGGAATAAGTATTCTTTTTCTCTTCTACAATTACGAATAAGTAAATATTGATGGAAATTATAAGGAATACATAGGCTTGTCTATTTTTCCAGTTACTTCCATGGCCATCTTCCCTTTTTTCTCATCATCATTTTTGAAATAGGTAACATAAAATAAAAGAATCACTGATAGAATACATGGTTTCTTTGGCCTCGAAATTACATAGTAAACTTGTTTTAGTACATGCAAAACTTTCCTGCAGTCATTTGTTCTATTTTGAGATATCAATGTGACAGTTTTGGTAGCTTCTAAAACTTTTCTAATGATATTTGGCTTAAGTTTCTAAGCCTTATTAGAAAATCTTACATCCTTCAGTATACTATTAGCATCCGAATTTTGGTGAAGTCATTTGTCGAATTTTTCGTAAAAGCCGTATGCTTATCACGATCCTATTCTTTCTTCACTTTTGTCTTTTGTTCTTAACTCTATGCTTCGGGATTAAATAACTCTAATTTATTAGTAACAGTAATTAGAATGATCAGTAGGTGTGCAAAATTCAAAGTCAAATACAAACAGTTAAAAGTTGATAAGATATGAAAACTCTAGCTTTTCCGGAAGAGCATCAGTAAAAATATAATTGTTTCAAGACATACCATTGATAATGCCACTACTAATGTTATTTTGAATTTAAACATTACCAAATGATATACTGCTGAAATAACAAATTTGTAGTAGTGTTCGGCAAAATTGTGGGCCGATTCTATAATTGGAAGCAAAGGATCAAGCTTTCTATGTTTTAATTAAATATTGAAAAGTCATGAAGAAAGTAGTAATATATGAAATATATTGGTATTTATAAGGGTATTATTTTTCCAGAAAACTAAAAAATTTATTAACTGCATCAGTATTTGAAATCGAAGTGCATTCAAATTTCAGATTTGTAAATTTGTATGATGAGCTACTTTGCTAACGCATAATAGAAACAGTAGAGAGAATGATTAATTTTTTTTATAAATGGGGACAGATGTTTTTAAAGACTCCGGCATCAAAGCCAATAATTTGCAAAACTTTAAGTTCCCAACTTTTCGGATAAAGAGAGTCTCAAAAACTAATAAAATCTCACTCTCTTTTGATATTGATCACGAAGATACATAGAGTGTTAAATTTTCCAAAAGAATCCCTACCTACTTTAATGTGCCTTTATTATGAATCAGAACTACTGTTTCATTTCAAATTCGCTATGCATAAAAAGATATTAATGTTCACTTTCTAGAAAGTAATCTATTTTTAGTCAGTTAGAGAAATCTGCCTGAACAATTTCTTGCTATGTAAGATAGACATAATCTAAGACATGTAAGCCAAGCCAAGTAGAAGAAGAAATATAATTGCAATTATGAAGCAAAGAAACAATGCAGTATATCAACCAAATTATTGAAAAACAAATTTAGTCTGGAGGGAGATGGGGTTGTTAGCTATAGAAAAACGTCCTCGACAGATGATTATCTTATATGTCAAACTATTTCAGTGGAGTAATAGTTGGCTCATATAATACTTCTAAATTACTCGTCCTTGAATCTAGTTTGTCACTTACCTGATTGGTTCCGGGTGATAGATCGTGCCTGTCGCATGTAATACGATAGCGTTTGGTCCTTAACCTGTTTTATTGGCTTCATTTTTGAATCGTATTTACGTATTGTTGGTATGCTATACATATAAGAGAGATCACGTGGTGTCGACGACCCGAATACAAATCTTTTCTTCTCGTTATGTTCCACCGGTTGTTTTCTATAGCCATTTGATAGAGCGTTGGCCATTCTCGTTCAAATTCAAGCTTTATTCGTTATGGTACTACCTATTAACTGTTTTTTGATAATTCTATAACTCAAACAATAAAAATGTGACAAGTCTATTTCACTTTTCTTTTCTTTCGGACATGAATACGAATAAAAAATTTGTTTTGGAGGATAGCTACTTCCATCATTAACTGGATTATTTCGGGTCAATAGATTTTGGTTAGTCTAAAATAATGAAGTTAATCAAACAAATAGTACCTTTTTCTCGAGAAAAGAAATTAAATTTCTTTAACTCTAAAGAAATGCTTTTCTTTCCCTTATTGCGCAATATGCAGCATTGGAAGATTGAAATGGAATGAAATGAAAAGATAATATTCCGCTCCGTTCAGCAGTGAACTCATAAAGAGAATCATTTAAAGGAAGCGTATAAATGCACGAGCCGCTTTGAATTTAGTATTGGAAGTCTATACTTAAATGAGAGCAAGCCAAACTGAGAGGAAGCATCCTTCGCTTTGCGAGGTATCGTCGAAATCTAGGAGATAAAGAAGGGTTGAGGAACAAACCTATTCTGTCCTCTTTCCCTATTCTCTTTTTCTGCTCTTTTTTGTTACGACTACTCTTAGGCAAATTTTTATGAAAAAAAATGCTTAGCTAAACTTCCATGCAAGCAGGCTTCACTTTTTTCTTTTTAGCTTACATTTTTCTACTGGAACTGCAAAATGTCCCCAGAGCCAGTTCCTCTCAACTTTTCCTTCACTGATTTACAAAACAACTTTTGCCAATAATTCAGAAAATGACAGCACGCAGATATATACAAATCTTTTGAGTCAAGAAAAACATCGAGCTTATCAATTTCACAGCAGTAGAAAGAAAAAGCAATGACTTTAAACTGCTCATTAGTTTCCTTTTCTTACTTAATTTAATTAATGAACACAACATTTATTGCTCATTCTCTTTCTCTCATATTTACATTTTGCTAAGTGAAAATCGATCAGTAATCTTCCACTTAAAATTTCAATTATACTGTGTATAAAAATATCCAACTAAGAATTTCTAAACATTCAACTTGTAGTATAAAACAAATGAGCAAAGTTAAGCTTCTTAATTGACGAGAATCCGTCAAATTCCATAGTTTTTACAGTACAGGATTATTAACAAGCAGGCAGAGCCGAAAATGAATTTATGTTACGTCTTGGCTGATTATTGGAATTATTAACCAAAATTCTGCGATCATTGTCATTTCAGATTTATGGAACCAAAACAAAACGGTTCTAATTAACAAAAATTAGTTAACTGTAACTTATGACTCGATGCGACATTTCATTCTACACCCTTAAAAGTGCTTAAATGAAGATAGGTAAATAAATATATAAATTAGTGGAAAATGTTAAGCCAAAAACAACAGGTATATATCTAATGCTCCAGTTTATCCAAAAATATTTCAGATCTTTTCAATATAATTTTGACTACGTAATATGTATTCGGCACGGCATTTTTTGGAGATAAATCTACCGATGTAAAGAGTTGTCACATGAACGAATGGGCGTATTTCAATGAACCGAAGGTAGTATTAAAGTAATTATGGTTGCGGCAAATAACTGACTATCTTCTGCAGCAGCACTTGTGAACTAAGGCTGAATCCTTCACTTTTGTTTTTTGAGGATCACGAGTTTTCGAAACACAAAATTCACTGTTTAAAAATCTGAAATCATACTTTCATAAGCGAAACTCACCAGACAATCTAAATGAAAGTTTTAGAAAGGCAGATTAACTCAAAGCAACTATCTCACCTTTTGTAGCACCTAAAATTAGGAAATCAATTTGTCAAATTAACTCTGTGATTCAACCTGTTTTAAGGCTTTAAATATCGACAAAACATAATCTTTGAAACTGTTCATAATTTTGATGAAGGCAATCATTTACACCATCTGCAGTTTTTAAATGAGAACAGTGCAACTGCAACTGCATCTTCCGTGAAGAATTGAACTTCTGACCCAGATCAGAAGAAGGATGATTTATGCAAATGATTAATAATAATGATTCACAAATAGTATCTTTTAAGCCAAGAAGCTCATTTCACAGTTGCTGAAAGAGTGAAATACCGAAAAGTCGATACGGACAAACGTTCTTGAATTGAATGAGTATAACATACCAGTTTCTTCATGTGTACCCAAAAGCTACCACCAACTTCCACATCATGAACTTTTAACAGTTGTTATGATATGAAAACAATTCTGGAAAATATTTATTTCACAGAAGTTATGAAACTGGACAGAGTGAACAAAAATTCATTTTTTACTATCTAAAAAAATTACTGCTCCCGCTCCTTCTACGACATAATTTTGATTTGAAACATAATTAAATAATTTAATATAAACTGCTACAAGTGAAAATTTACGTCTCGTTCGTCATTACCAACGAATAAAGAATTTGACGTCAAAAATTTCAATTCAGAAAAATGCAGAACAAAGCAGACCTAGTCACAGTACAACATTAGAAAAATAATTCACGCTAATGGATGCAAAATTAAATTGTGGACTTCCAACATTTGAAAAGATATCGACAAATCAGTTATAGAGATGAGAACAGATCATAATATCATAATAATAGGAAGTGAAAATCCAGAGGAATCAAACGATCGAGAAATGATGTGGTAGTGAATAAATTTCATGGGAGTTAAAAAGACTACATACTGTCTGCACAGTGATAAGACTTGTGACTGCAAATTCTGAAGGCCTGTAAAATTCAAACTGCACTGGCAATATTATGAACTTAAAAATCTATGCTAAATATAAAACTAGTACTTCACCACACAAAATGGAAGAGTGAGAAAGTGGCAACACTTGCAATCCACATTAATTCATATTGTCTTATTTTTAACCAAGAATTTCATACTTTTTGTTTCAAAGCCAAACGGGTAATTGTAAATCTACAAAGAAGTATTCTTTTGAACAAAAGAAACGATACCGAAAGCGCTTTAGAGAGAAAAGCGAAAGTAAGACAACTACAATTTCTTACGATGCTCCCAACATTAGAGCCACAATCATGCCATATAAGCCCAGAACCTGAAATGATTAAAAGTTAGAAATCAAGGATATAAGTTTAACAATGAACTTAAAGTTTCAGATTAGAAAGAAGACCATCAAGTTGGTCTTGTGTCAATAACTCGTGCTTTCAGAAACAGACAAAATGAAAAAAGAAAAGACTTTCGTTATTCTACATCAAACCAAACTTAATATCTCAAATTGAACGGCAATTACTTAAAGATTTGCAAATTTTACAACAGTAAACTCAATTTATTTGAAATTTACTCATGAATAAATAACCATAACGAAAAAATATCTAGAAAAATTAGAGACAATCAATACTAACATCAGTAAAAATACCTACCTCGGAGAAGATCAGAATGAGGATCATGCCAACGAAAAGTCGTGGTTGTTGAGCAGTTCCTCTAACTCCTGCATCACCCACAATACCTATAGCATAACCAGCACCAAGGCCACATAGACCACATGTAAGACCAGCAGCTAAATGAGCGAATCCTTTATCTAAAGTATAACCATCTGAAGCTTTCGTCACTTTGCCTTTTAGTACCATTGCCACCTGCAACATGAATGAGATATATAACTGCTACATTCATTTTAATAACAACACTAATAATTTACTGAACTGAAAAAAGATTACATTTGTGCGCTCGTTTGATTATAATTTAAAATCCGTAAATTATGCAGCTAATTAAAACAATGATCTAAAATAATGAAGGATCAGAAGCAATTCTCTAGTAAGTGAAAGAAAACATCATTTTCCAAATCCCATTAAAACAAGCTCAAATACTGAAAATAATTCAAAACTGATATTTTTTACAAACTCTACTTTCCAAACCAAATGCTGTATGAGGACTGCAACTGTTAGATTTACATGGGAAAGAATATGAACAATTAAACATAACTTGTTTTAAACAAAAAACCAGAAAAAACTCACAACTAGACCGTAGATACCAATAATGCCAGCCATAATAACTGGAATCACGGATTTCATGATTAGTTCCGGACGCATTACACCCATACTGGAGATACCCACAGCTGACTTAGCCGTCCCATAGGCTGCGCCAAGTACGGTGAATATCTGCGCTGATGCAGCTCCCATATATCCAAAAAAGGGTGAATAAGCCGGACTTTCTGCTACTGCCAAATCATACGACATTTTTTAAGTTTCCTGTCTATTTAGTGAAGAAAATCTGAAATTAGAAACCCATTTTGCTAAGTTTTCCTTCGACTTTGTAAACTACAGCGCATAGTAAATCTGATCTTGCACTTTTGCCTACAATTGCATAAAAAAACAAAATGACGCTAATGAAATGCAAAACAAAGATAGGTATCTCCACAAATGCTTAAAAAGTGACACTTATGAGTCATTTAACATACCATTCAAAATGAGAACACAAAATAACATACTATTCACAAGGGAATAAAAGCAGATCATTTAGTATACAAAAACATTTAGTATACAACAATCTTTCGATTTTTCTTTTTCTTCCAAGCAAGAATTTGTTGCAGACAAAATCAAAGACAAGATAGAACATGAACAAATTAAAAAACGGGCAACTATTCCAACAGAATATTTCGAAAATAAATAATTGGCGAGTTCTCTTTCAAAGAAACACATTGGATTCCACTGAAAATTTTCCAAGTTGTCGAGTATCAAATAAAGCAAAAAAGATACTATCAACCAATATAGCCACTTCACAAGGATTATGAAGATTGCATTTCATATGAAGTCCCATCTCAACGACAATAGCAATTGAAGGGAAATGGGTTTTTTCCTAAAGTCAGTGCTCGAAGCCGTGAAATGTTTCTTTAGTATTAAAGAAATATGTCTCATGTCTCATGAAATATGTCCAGTTTCACCCAATAAAAAGAAAATATGGGAATAGCGGGAAATGAAATAAATTCACCTACAGCATAAATTGTCAGGAAGAAAATCTATTGTCTTCATTGGAAAGGATGACATAACATATCATCTTCATCTTAGGATTATACAGTGTTTCATTATTGCTCCCTGTCTATGAAAAATTGAGCTTCCTTATCAAACATCATTCAATCCAAAATTCCCTGAAATCACTCCCATGTTATTCTAGTCCAATATGCATACATTAGTGTTTTATGCAGTAGTTAACACAAGGGATTCTATGGTACCGCGAATAAATACACTGGATCGTTACAAGCGAAAAGTTTTGGAAAGCTGATGAGCAAAACCTCCATAAAACTGAGGTTAATCTTCAAACATAACCCAGCAATGTAAAACACACTAGAAAAATAATATAAATTCATCAGCTGTTGAATATGAACCTAGAATCCACCACAATCCTGAAACCTATCAGTATTATAAAACCATTATGATTCAGCGACCAAATTGGGATTATAACAAGTATACGAAATTAGTGTTCATATTACGCTCAAATCTGATTATTGAAGTATGATTCATTGTTTGTTTTCTAACTAAAGTCAATAATATCGAGAAGCCTGATGTAATCGAAGTACCGAAAAATAGTGACTGGCCTAACCATTATTTCACAGGAAGAGAAAAAATCTTTAACATCTAATCATATGCTGCCATAAGCAGTACTACCACATAAATTCTTGACCTAGACTAATTAGTTTCAAAACAATCTTAAATTTGAATCATATAACTGAAATATATAATTGAAAATGAAATTAGAAAAATAAGCTGAGAAAGCTTGACTTCTATAAACGATAACTGGAAACAGGAAAAGTATGATAGCAAAGCATCATAAATTTACTAAAGTGTAATGAATAAATCTATGTAGAAAGCGTAAGAAAGGTACAAATATGAAAAAATCTAAGATTATTCAACTATAATCTATGGAAATTCTTTGGACTGATACAGATAATAGGTGTTGAACTTCAAAAAGAATTTTTCAGCATTGTTAATTTTGTAATTCACTCATACAGAACTTTTTACATCAACAAGAAACCATTAAATTATGCTCGGAATACCACAATGAGAATCAAAGCCCTTCTGGTAACATTTTTCCATAACACCGCAAATCCTATTTTGTTCTTATTTCAAGGTTTGTCAAATAATTTCAAGTCTTATTCTGCATCATCTTCTAGCTTTTTGCTCTAAGTTTCAAATCAAAATGTAAAACAGAAGTTTATTTGTTTTTTCTTATGTCTAATATTTGTTCAACAAATGCATGTAAATTATGTTGCTCCCAAGACCAAAGCAATAATCATGCCATACAAACCGAGCACTTCAGCGAAGATAAGAATCAAGATCATTCCTATAAAAAAACGCGGCTGTTGCGATAATGCCCGAACACCAGCATCGCCAGCAATCCCAATTGCATAACCAGCGCCACAACCACACAAACCACATACCAGGCCTCCAGCAAACATACTGAATCCCTGATCAATTTTAAAGCCGTCAGCAGAAGATGTTACACGACCGGCATACACCACAGCAACCACCAATCCATAAATAGCAACAATACCTGAAAATGAATCTAATATCGAGGAGCAAACAATTTGTTCACCACATTCCTATGACTTCCTAGGACTATTCTTGCATAAACCAAAATATGAAAAAAAAAAATTTTTTTTGTTCACAAAGAATCATATTAGACGTCCTAACAGCAGTGAAAATTTTGAAAGGATACACATACGAAATCTGAAAAGCTCACCGGCCATTACAACAGGTATGATAGCTTTCATAACAAGATCAGGACGTGTAACAGCCATGGATGCAATACCCGTTCCTGATTTTGCTGTACCACAAGCTGAGCCAGCTGCAGTAAACATCATTGCAGCGGATACTCCAAGTGTACCAAAGAAGGGTCCGTACATCGCACTTTCCGGATCTGTTGTGGGCTCATATATTTCTCTAGCTGACATCCTGAGTTTCTGGAACAATTTTTTTTCCAACACAAAAAAACTTTTGCTCCAAACTTCTTTGTTTATCATCCCACCCCGAAAGCAATTCCTTCATTTATTCCTTCCTAGGAAAAATTTTAGGGAACACAGGAATGAGTGCAAGTATCGTGTTCTGAATAAGCAGAATTATTAATAAGTCAACAAAATGATTAACTTTCCAGTCCTCTTATTTCAGCAAAAGTCTTTGGTAAAAAGGGCACCATTCTACCAACCGCCGACATCTTGTCCTTTGAATGTTCTCCACATTCTTAACATATCTATGAGTAAAAAATACTTTGACGAGTGTGTACAGAAGCGAGAATTCAATAGTGGATAACCACTCACCCAGGCCTACACAATAAAGAAGGAAGGAGATATAGGTGGCATTTATTGCGTGAAGACGTCACGTGAAGCAATCTCCTTCCGCAAACAAAAGAAAAAACTATCCGAGAAATCTCAAGGCGAGATCTCGAGAAAAAAAGTGACACCAGCACGACCGCACAGCAGCACACACGCATGACAAATACGAGAAAGAAGCGCATGCAGAGAGACGACGAGCATCACAATGACCAAGAATCGAAGAGCATTACGGTAACGCCCATTTCTATAGCTGATTGGAATGGCTTATAAGCGGTGAGGTGCGTCGCGTTCCATTTTATTGTTTGGTGGGAACTGGGAAGGGCTAAAGCTGGGAATTTGACTTTACGTGTTTTGTGTGTGCTTCGTGTCCGATGTCAGCATTTGCCTTACTTTCATCATGGCAGCAAAAGGTAAGTGTAGCACCGCCACGTGGTCTCCACTGCAGCGGGTACAGACATGTTGTTTCTCATCGTCTGCTACTCTTGTTCTACCGTTTTCTGGATTTAGAAGCGGAAAAGGACGGGGATTCTTCGTATTCCTGAGAGAGAGAGAGAGAGAAGTGCTGCGAGTTAGATATGAAACATAGTTTAAAACGGAAAATAGTTTCTTGTTAAAGTTCGTAGCGGTAAGTATTAAGTTTTACTACGTCACACCTTGGTGTGAATCAAAAGCCCAATTAAGAAATTTGGAATCTAGTCCATCTAACTGTTTGTTAAAAGTACATTAGAAATGCGGCCTGAAAAAATAGCACGGGAAAGTGTATTTCGAAAGTGCTTTGCATGCGTTATTAGTCTCCAACATAGTATTGTTGTAAACCAAAAGTTTTCGGTGGTCATCTTCCGAAAAATTGAGTGCTTCAACCAATTATCCCGTTAACGTTTAGACGGATTCACAAAAAAGTGTTTGAAAAATTGGACGTCGAAGAAAAGTGAGAGTGTTAAGCCGGATTTCAGGTCATTATCCTGAATTATTTCGATAGGGTTCCAATGGATTGTTTTGGTCCATTCAAAAATTTCAATAAATAGCAGTAAAATGGTAATGAAAAAACGGAAGACGAAAATAACGCAAATGAGGCGACGAAGTAGTGCGCGAAAAATAGTGACAAGGAAACGCAGGCGAAAAAGAAGTATTGTGCATATCGAGGTCGTTCTCTTTTTTTAATAGTCCCAAAAGTTTAGAATGTGAGAGCCATTTTGTTAAACGTTTCACGATTTGGTAGTTGTTAGGAATGCCACTACTTTAAAGTATTTTTGGGATCTAAAATATAATTATAGATTTCAGTGGGTGCTTTCCATCTTGAGCTTAGCTCATCTTTGGAGCTGATTAGGATGTACATCGACATTTTTTTTATCAGTCAGCTCGGTTAAATGATAAGTTTCTTCAGATTGCATTTGTTAAAAAGTGTCAATTTATGTTGCTTTTAGAATGTTGAATTGCAGACCATACCTTCTACCTCCTCCTTGCAATCTTTAAATTCATTGCCAAAGGCGCAACTATCTATGCAGAATGGTAGTAATGGTGACGATTTCATTGGAGACAATTGTTTTCCTTTTTCTGATCTTCCTTTGAATGTCCAGAAGAAAATTTTGTCTTATTTGCCCTTAAAGTTAGTAGTTTCTTTTGCCAAGAATTATACCTTTTTTAAATTTTTTTAAATGTTCATTTCGATTTTGCTTTCCCCATTTCCAGTATATCATGTTTCTTCGCTGACTGTTATTTGCCAGAAAATTACTCAAGTTCTGATATATATTTGGGTACTGCTTTACAAATGTACTTTTACATCAATTCTAACCGTAGATGCCGTGTACGCTTGGAACGTGTATCGATGACGTGGAAAAGATTATTAAATATATCTTGGCAGAATATTACCTTCGCAGATATCCCATCGACTGTAACAAATTCATTTCAAATCCGGCCAATTGATGATCATCATGTTTGTGGTTTCTTACAGAAATGCGGGCGTTATTTACGTTACATTGATTTTTTTATTCCGCATGTGAATATTGGCAGACATGTATTGTTCAGGTAATTTGCACGCAGTAATATAGTAAAAGATCTAAAAGACTTTTTCTTAACTAAATATAATTCTTCGTTAGATTATAAAGATCAGAATTTTGTTCGCATATTTGTAATCTCAGGCTTTTATTTGTAGTATCTGTCAGAGATGTGTAAACTTGCGTGAATTACGTCTAATAACAGATGTAAGTGGTTGTGCAATGACAAATCTGCTCAAAGAGTATAGCCATCAGTTGGCCCAACTCCAGGCTCTCAGTATTAGTTATCAGGCTCAAGATGAACTCTATAATGGGATGCGGTAAGCAATTTTGAAATTTGTTTTGTTAACAAAGGCTACTGTTTTTTCGTATAAAAGTAATGAAATTAGTCAGAATGACTCACTGTTATCACTGTTACCGAAATCGTTGACTTTAACATATCTTCAAGGAAGTAATTAACTTGATAAATAACTTCATTCTGTTTTGTCTTAATTTATTCGTAACTTACACGTATAATTTTTTTGTAACATACACGATTTTCAGTGCTGTGGCTCGTTCGATGACAGAATTACGTTCTTTTCGTTTGGATTGTTATACAATGCCTGCAAATGTATCCGCTTTGTTTCCCAATAGTCCTCATATGAAGATCTATTCGATTTTATTGAAACAGGTGGAAATATAACTGACATCAGTTAAATTTGGTTTACATTCTTTTATTTTGTTCGGGATCTTAAATTAGATGTAATCTTTCAGCCAGCTAATGTTGGTATCAGCAGTAGCTCGTTGACTGCAGGATCTACTATGCAGTATGAATGTAAATATGTTCGTCCAGAATTTGTAATTGATTTCTTTGCTTACTTGGGGGATGTGTATCTCGAGCTTGAACAACTTGATATCTCATTTGATACCAATTACCCGGTAAATGAAGAGAAAATATTTCACAATTTGCGGTTAGTGCTCACTGTTATTCTGTGAGATTTCAAATTTATATTTAATTAAAATTCAGGATCTAGACCAAGTATTTTACCCACTTGAGATGACTTTTTCAGTATGATCGGAACAACGCGTGCTTTGAAACGTTTGAACTTACGGATTGCTGCGTTGTTGGATAATAGTACGGAATGGTTTGGAACACGAGCATTACAAGCGCTGGCCTATTTTCCGACACTTACGCACTTATCGCTATGGACATGTGCTCTACCATTTGATTTGCCTTATATTCTGGCGAAATCACCACTAGCGAATAACTTGACCATGTACGCTTGTTTATTGTTGTGTAATGTCACTTGTTCACTGCAGTGATGTAATACTGCAGTGTTCATTTTTACCTGTGATGTATTTCTTTACTATAAATAACACAGTCATTCTTCAGATACACGTGTATAACTACTCTTATTTTAGGATCGTAAGAAATATTTGGTAAATAATACATTTACTTTAATCAATGATTTTACGGAAGCTTTGTTGTATTAAGCCTTAACATTATTACTATTACTGAGGAATTTTTTTATGAATGATCAGTATTCAGGCTTCGATTAGCTATCGTGCGCAATCTGTCGAATAATATGTTATGCGCCATATTTCGTGCATTACCATCGCTCACTTCATTTACTTTAATATACAGTGTTGATGGACGTTTCATATGCCCAGCTTGCATTGATGTATTGACTTTCGTGCAGTTATTTGAGGTATTGTGTAAATTTCTTTTTCAAATTTCTATTCAGATTTTACAAAACGATTGGAATATTAATTATCTTAAAACTTGTTTTAGTTGCATATAAACATGTCATTGTAACAATAACACCGCTACATATGCTGTAATCTTGTTTTTTAGTGTTGTCCTAGGATAAGCGAGCTGGAGCTGCATGATTGTGTGACAGTGGATGCTACACGCTTGGCCATAGCTGCTCACTCGCATTTTCATAGTTCAAGCACTTCTTTAGGGTATCTTTCTCCATCCTTGTCTTTGCCAAAGTTTATTAATCTATTTTTAAAAAAACAGAGATGTTCAAATATTTTACTGCTTTTAGAAATGGTCGTTTGAAAATAGTGATCAAAACAAAAGAACGTAAACGACGGCGTGACTCACTAAATAGGCTATTGCGCTGCTGTACAGAGATTGAAAGCACACAAAATACAACGATTATTAATATCTACAAAACATGCTGCCATTCAAAAAAGGCACCAACTATTTCTGGACATCGATAATTTATAATCTTAAGGTGTTTTGTACCGGTGCACTGCGTTTTGACTATTTAGAGTTGTGTTCAGTAGTGGTGGTTGGTATCTTTTTTATTCTTGAGACATGTTCGAATTGTTGTTTTTTGTTAAGTTGCCTAAAACTTTTTGGTGCATGCATACAAAGCTCATCAACTGCCACTCTGTGATTTTAGATGTGATTATTGTCTTTTGAATTGTTTGTGCGTCTTTCCTTTCGAATTTTTTTATCTTAATTTTTTGTATAGATAGCTTTGAAATAGCACATATTTATTGACCTTTTTTACATTTACCAACCCTTTTTGCCTCATTCGTAGAAGAGATTTCTGCAGCAAACAGTCCTAATGGTTCTGTTCATCATATCGAAACGGTTTTGATATCCCTCCCAAAAATTTGATGTTTTGGGTTGAAAGGCTGATATGCTTTTAGGAACTTTTTTGTTTTGATGACTATTCACTGTTTTTATTCTACTGCCCTATTCATGATTTTTTTGTTCTCGATATCCATTCCAAATTTTTCAATTCCAAAAAATGTTGAGATCTTGATTTGTATTGGAAAACTAAGGTTAAAACCTATTGCTGTGCTGTGACGGAAGTATCTTTTATTATAGTATGGTATGTATCTTCTTACCTCTTACAGCATGTTAATAGTATTTTATGTTTTTTTGACGTTACTTATTGAAGAGAAATATTTCGTTGTGGAAAAAAAAAGCTACTCACGTTTATTTAAATTTTTAAATTCCAATATTTTCTTTTTTTCAAGTTTAAAATTGAAATATGAGGCTAGGGCATATTTGTTTTTGTCAACATTTGGTTCTGTAAAGTATTTACATTTACCGGGTTTTCCCTCATATACTTCTGTGCCACTTGCTGCGTGTTATTTTCTCTTATTACTGGCTTCCTTTTTTTTATCAAATTGTTTTCTTAAATCTTTTAGAGTAAGTTTTAGGCATTTCCTTAATTCACAGTTTTGGAGACATTTAATTTTAAAATAGATTTAAAGCGAGCGCGAAAATACTTTATATTCTCGATTATTTTTTTTTTTTTTCTTTTTGGAGAGTGATTCACTGCATGGTACTCTTCAGCATCTCAAGTATACGATATCCGCAAATCGTTTCACGCTTGTTGAACATTCTGTTATTAATTGTAGATGGTGGAATTTCAATTGGAGTTTTTAAACTGGTAATCTGTGCTAGGTGAAATTTTGTGTGCTGGTATTTATTCCTGTGAAACTTTCGGTTTTTTTTTTTTTGTTTCATTCTTTTAGTAATAATATTTTGTGCTGGGTTTAATGGTAAAAGTTGTTTTTCTTATTACACTTTATTGTACTTGTTAATTGTTGTCTTAATACATCAAAGAGTTTGTTTGCTTTCTCCGAATGAAATTGGATTTTTGTTTCGATAAAAGAAGGGAATTGAAGATCGGAAATACTTGAAATGTAGTAGAGATTATTTGAGTTTAATTAGGTTAAAAAATTTTTTGCTTACGATAAATAGTTTGCTGTTGTATAACTGACTGATTGGTTTTAAAGCATAATATAGTTTGGAGATAGGTTTGAAGTCATACTCGTTTATGCTTGGGATTCAAGCTATTGCAAGGATATAGATGTGTTGGGATTTCTACGTTATTCAAGGTCTGTTTAAAATGCAGATGCAGTGAATACTGCCGGTGTTCAATTAGTGCTGGGAATGGGTATTATGAGTGAAGATATATTAATATTCAAGTGACCATTGGATTTTCGTTATTCTGGTATCATATTATATTACTTTATTTTTGCAAGGATAAGTGTGTGCATTATGGAAATTGTTCCAACTTCGGTATTTAATTTGGAGAACTTTTCAAGTTCTTTATAGATGGCATCGAAGTGTGCTTCACTATCATTTGAGGTAGGATGTTAAAAAATGGTCAAGAGCAATATGGATGCAAACTTCAATGACGACGATTAAATTCATATATTGTGAGCATTTTGATATCTTATTTTTCAGGGTGTCTACTTACTGTTGTGGAGTATTTTGGTAATGATTGTAGTTTTAAATGCATGTTCGATATTTAAAGAGAAGAATATTCAATGGTTAGTTTTCCTTACGAAGGTAAATGTTAAATGTTTAGTTGTACTTAAGAAGGGTTATGAATTGCTGGTACAGTTTTCATGGTCGTTTGTATTGAATCTTGATTCAATTACCTGTTATTTGTTTTTAAGTTGTGTGGAAAGGGGGATCTGTGAAGAAGCCTTTGACTTGGGTCTGTATCATCTGTGTGGCACTTTTTGTGATGTTCATAATCAAAAGTTGGAAGAATTACGTTGATTCAGATTATCAGCTTTTCCACTGGTAAGTTTTATTGTATTGCACTAGTATAAATTGATTATGGCATAAATCACTTCGTTATGGAATCAGTGAGCTCAGAAATCAAGGTTTAGTATATGGCTTAGTATTGAATAATTTTTTTGGTCTATTCAGGCATGCATCACTTACAACTATTATTCCAACTCACATGTTATGCGTGTTGGTGCCATATCGTGACCGTGAGGCGGAACTACGAATATTCGTCTCTTATATAGCAGATTTTCTCAATAAACAAAATGTTCTTCATAAGATAATTGTTTTAAACCAGACGGATGCATTAAGGTTTAATCGAGCATCGCTGATTAATGTTGGGTGGTATGAAGCAGATCGAGTAAATTATACATTATTCCTACTCTTTTTAATATTTCGTATCTTGACAGAAAACATGGACGTTTTATTTAACAGAATACAAGTAAGGGCTATTTCTAAGTTCCAGGTTTCAGGGCTTTCTTTATTTTAGGTAGGATGTGATTACTTGGCTATGCATGATGTCGATCTTTTACCTTTAAATCCACAATTAGATTATTCATATCCAGGAAAAGGTATCATTCGACATATATCTTCCCCAGAATATCATCCAAAGTAATATCTTATACATTTTTTTCTTTGACAAAGGAATATGCCTTAGGTCTTTCCACTTTTTATTTCATTATTCTTTCATTCACAGGTATAATTACACGAAATTTGTTGGTGGTATTTTACTTTTGACAATGTCTGATTATAAGGTAGTGAATGGCATGTCAAATAAGTACTGGGGATGGGGTCTTGAAGACGACGAATTTTATCTTCGTTTAAGGTATGTTTAATGTGTGCATTTGGTAATGAGTTTAATTATAAAGAAAATAGCAGGGCAAGTGTTATAAAAAAAAAGGAAGAGCAGTATCGAATAGAATATTTTTGATGGAAGATGGCAATCTGAATTTTTGAAAAAATGTTTGAATTTCTTGAATAAAGACAGCTTTAAGAGATGCAAATTTGCTGTCATCTATGCAAAGACCGATGAATTTAACTACAAACCGTTCCAATACTTTTCGTCACATACACGATCCAAAAATGCGAAAGAGAGATTTCAAAAAATACGGGAATCAAAAGCAGATAAGCTTTAACTACATTATTCTAAGAATCCTCGAGAGGATTACTCTCTGTCTCTTTGTTGTTTTTTTGTTACCAAATGCAATTTAAGTAAATAGCTACAGGTTTTTAGATGGCTCACAAAAGAGACCGAACTAGCGGTTTGAATTCCGTAAAATATCATATTGTTGGACGAAATTTGCTCAATTTTCGAAAAAAACTGGTGGTTTCTGTGCTCAATATTGAATTGGAATGTGACTTGAAATGGACTAACTATTGCAGACCATAACAGAGTGTTCTTAAATTGTTTCTTCCCTTTAATATCATTTTACCTTTAGATTCTTATGAATTTTTTTTCTAAAGATTTTCACTTGCGATTTCTGTACAATTTGAATATACTGATAATTCTATTACAAAATGCTAATTGGAAATTTGTCTTTTTTCGCTAATTTTCATTCATTATTGTATTCAGCTATTCTTCCATTGCGAAAACTATTGGAAAGTGAAAATAGGCAGTTTGCAATTTTGGTTTAGATAGAATAGCTTTAGAAATTTTACTATCATGAATTGTGAGATGTTAAGTAATCCAAATGGGTTGTAGTGATCTGATGTAGAATACGTTTTTAAAAATTTGAGACTACTAGGCATATTTTTTAAGGCAATGCTCAGTGTAAAAATTAATTTCATTTTATGAAGTTTCTTCGAATATTGAATCTATCATGTAATATCCTAAGACAGTCTAGAAGTTTGGCGAGGAAAGACAGTTCTTTTGTAATTTTTGTCCAAATTTGATTAAGTTATGCTTTTACCTGTTTTTAAAATTTGTTCTGAATTGCTTGGTGGTTTTTCTATGATGTGAAAAACTAAAATTTATTTTAAACTGACTTCTTGAAAATTATTATATAGGTCGTATTGCAGGAAAATTCACAACAATAAAACTGGCAGTTTCATAGAGAGATTGTCTGTTGTTGTACACATTGCATCACTTAAGTATAATTCCTTCATTATCTTTCAAAAAGTATTTAGGTCCGTTTTATTGTAAAATTCCTTATTTATGCCCGTTTCGCAGTAGCAAATTTATTTCCTTTTTTAACTATCTTTTCGATATTACGAATGTATTGCTTTGTTAAATTATAAATTTTGACTGTTTTGAACTAAACCTTCTGTTATTTTTTGTTGGATTTTATTCGCAGAGTTATATCGTAAGTTTTTAATACAAGAAATGATATCTTTACTTTGATTTTTTTAATATTTTTGATGTGGAACAGAATATTCTCCCATTTAGATTTACGATTTCTGTGATGATACTGGAGATACATGTTCATATTGGTTGTATTTGGGGCAGCTGCGGTCTGATGTGTTGAAATTTTCTTAAAGTTGTTTTGGATGAATTTTACTTCTGATTCCATTTGTTTTACAGTTATGAGTTTGGGAGTTGATGGTGTTGCCGTTTTAGCCGATCTTCATTGGCTTCTTAAAGAGTCCGAAATGAGATGTTTGGTAGATGCGGAGCAGTGGTGTGTTTGAATTTTCTGTTTTTAAGTGTAGTATTCAACATCTGTAACTTCTGTAATTTTACCAGTTTTACTTCCTGTCCTGTCAGTTTGTGAAGAGCAAACAAAATATCAAGAAGCAGGCAGCAGAATTTAATGGTTTCAGGGTTAGCGAAATGCTATTTTATGCTAATGAGGACTGGCACAATTTCTATGCGAACCATAAGTCGGCACAACCAGAAACAGCAGAAATGGATTACAACACAATCGAGCCACATGTGGCTAAAGTTGCTGCTTTTGGTTCGTTTTTGTGATATAGAGGAATCCAAATAATATGATGAAAATCCAAATAAGAAGTTTTGCATAAAATATGTTCAACAGTAGTGGCGCAGAAGATCATTCCCCTTAAAGGAATCTTTGATGTTAGCTCCCTAGATATAAATTTTAGTCCATGTTTCAGCTATTTTCTCAATGAATGTTTCTCCAAGTTTTATGCGATCTCCAATCTGCTTTAAATTAGAAAACGATTTAGTTAAAAAATTAACCTAGTAACTATTAGTTTTACTCAAAAAACACTTAGTCCAGCTGTAAACCCATTAATAATTCTCAAAATCACTAAACTTTTTATAGGTAGAGCTTTAATTAAAAAACGTGAATTTTATCGAGCTGCTTATTTCTTGAAACAGATAAAAGATGAGTCATCATATGATCGTTTCATGTATTATTGGGCAAGATATTTGGTTAGCGATTTGCTATCTCGTTTTTTAACTTATAAATGCCTTTTGATTAAAAATTCACATATTTATTACGATAGGGTTTTTGGTACATCGGAAAATGTGGAAAAATACAGTTCGGAAATAGTAGTTTCTGAAGGTATTTTGCATGTTACATTTCATTATTCAAAAATGGCCTTCTCTGTTGTTGATAACTACTCTTAGCTAGACATTTGTAAAAGTAAATGCTTCATTTTGTTTCACTCTTTGTTATTGATTAAAATGAAAATGTTTGGCATTTCTGTAGCACTTATTTTCACACTGCTTATATTTGTTAGCATTACTAAATTATGCTTATACAAAAACAGGCATATGAATATAATCGACTTGAAACTGAGGCAGATTCAATTAGTCGAATGGAGTATGATGATTCTGAACTCAAGGAACTTCATAATGAACTTTGCTTGCTTGGTAGTGATCATCCGGAATATTTCGATGCGTTTCTTCTGTATATGTTAGTGCACTTTCTCATAACGAAATTGTGATATTAACGTAGTCATTTTAAGACAGTTCTGACCTTCATATTAATCGAATAAAAACTAGTATTTGTGATAATTCAAGCATCCGAAATAAGAGACAACGTTTATAGTCTTGCAAAGGTGCGTTGCAGTCTGAAATTGAAGGTAGGAGCAAAGGAAGCATTTCTTGAGTCTATATCGTTGAATCGAGCTATGTGGCCTTCGTGGGAGGAGTTGATTATGCTCGTAGATTCCGTGGATGAGGTAAGGTGAATTCCGGCAAAGTAATGTGTTTTACTCAAGCAATTTTCATTGACAGTATATGTTAGGATTTTAATTATTTTTTCCTTGAACTAACAGTTAGTTCGAAACTTTAGTTTTCATACTTGTATTTGATTTAGAACAAGTTGTTTATTCTTATTTTAAAATATATTTATATATTTAATCAGTACTGTTGCAGGCTGAAATAGAAGCGTACTCTGCTGGTGGACACTGGATGTATCAGTTTTTCAGAGCTGCTGTGCTTTCCCGATTTCAGTTGCATAAAAATGCGTTGGAACAGTATGAAAAGTTGAGCGAATGCGGTTTCCCAAATATGCCTTACATTATGAACCAAGCTGCTGCTTCGTTAAATAATATGCAAGGTCATCAACTTGTCTATTTCCTTAAAAAATGTTATTAAATAGTTTTATTATTTGTAATATTTTTTGTAATTTTTAATTCAGAACATGATATGGCGTTGGAATTTTTCAAAAAAGTGCGTAAACTTGATCCCTATCGCGTGGAACAGATGCATCTATTTTCTGACTCTCTGTATGTTCGAGTAAGTCGGTCTTTGATTCAAATTAATTCTTAAAATTTATAAGTAGAAAAAAATATTTCGAAGTTCAGCTTTGAGTTGTTTATCAGTGTTCTAGCTTCTAGCTTTTCAATTCTTTCAGAGCGCTCGTTCAGATTTGGCAGACCTTGCCCATACTTTTTTTAAAACACATAAATTCTGCTGGGAAACGTGTTGTATAATAGGTAAGTCTTCCATTACTGTAAAACATAATGAAGTAAAATTTTAATATAAAGATTTGATATAAGGTTTTGTTCAAAATAATTGAAATCAGTCCTTTACTAGACCAATATTCCTTTTAATATTTAAGAACATCTTATTATTTAGGAAACTGATTTTCAGCCAATTACTATAGTTTGAGAGGTGAGCATGAGAAAGCAGTTGTTTTCCTGCAGCGCTCACTCAAACTCAACCCTAACAATGCAGCAGCTTGGACATTAATCGGTCATGAGTTCATGGAGCAAAAAAATAATCCAGCTGCATGCCTTGCATATCGGAAAGCAATCGGTATCTTTGCTATATATATATTGCATTTCACATACTGGAATTTGTTGAAATTTGAAGTTATACTGAATTCTGAAACACAGACCACTGGAACACATTCGCTTCTACTTGCTGCTATACAGCAAGAATTAATAGTAAAAATGTAATCTGCTTTAATAGGATGTGAAAATATATATGTTGCAATAGTAGCTAATTTGAATGATGTCGTTTACATTAAGATAAGTTTAGAAGCTGATTCACATGATTATCGTGGTTGGTATGGTTTGGGTCAGCTTTACGATATACTAAAAATGCCTTCATATTCACTTTATTACTACCAACAAGCTCACAAATGCAAGTAAGAATAACTTCATAACGTTACTAACAAATCAAGATATAATTGTTGAAGATAAAATTTGTTTCAAAATTTTTGTGCTTTTGAGATTGTTAGTATAGTGAATTTTTTTTGAATAGTAGAGGTTGAGCCAAGCACGTAAAACTTGAGAATGTTCAGTTTCTATGATCTATGAATTTCAATATACTACTTTACAGACCGGATGACTCGCGTATGTTAGTTGCACTGGGTGAAGTTTATATTCGACTTAATCAAATTCCTGATGCTCAGAAATGTTTCCTGAAAGCATATAAGGTTGGAGATGTCGAGGGAACTGCGCTTATGCTGCTTGGAAAGTGATAAATATTTATCTTTTTTTTGTGTTTTTTTTTTTTGTATTTTCAGCCATTATTTATACTTAAATGTGTGGTATGACTTTAGTTCATTTCATTTCTGCTTTAGACTTTATGCAAAATGTAACGACAATGACCAGGCCGCATTAATCTACGAAAAATATTTGGATGTTTATGGCGAAGAATTCGTAAGTTTCACAGTGTTCGTGCTAAAAAACATTTCATTCAGCGCATAAAATTTATTTTAGATGGACGATTTAAATAATATCGCAACATGTTGTTCTTTTCTTGCCAAATATTATCTGAAGAAGGGCGATCTGGATACAGCTACTCCGTTTGCACAACGTTGCTTAGAATATGACACCGTATGTTTGCTTTACATAGAATATGCCTAGTTGGAGATTTGGAAACAATATTCATGTCAGTTTATTGTTACAATTAATCATTCATTTCTAGACAAAGGAAGAAGGACGAAATACATTGCGCCAAATAAGTCAACTTCATCATCGGCACAGCGTATTGCCTGAAACGCTTGTAGCTGCATCGAATGCAACATCGATAGTAACCATGCATCCTGGGAATGTTTTACCTCCGGGGAGTTCAACGTACGATGTTTTACCGAATTAATAGCTGGATTTGTAACGAGTAGACAGTGAAAGTTTCCATTTTGATCATTTAGAACAGACTTTCATAATACATTACTGTTTGTTATAGTCCCCTTCATAGTTTTCGGACACCAACGATCGAAGAAGGCGAAGCTGAAATGGTAATCTCATCCGATGCATCCGATGTTTCCGACGAATCATCTTTGAATGCTTCATATTAAAACTTGTCACTAAGAGTTTATAGGTCTTTTCAAAAGTTCAATTCCTAAGAAACTGTACTTATTTCTTGAGCAATACTTTAAGCTCCGCTAGAACTCAACTGTGATTTAGTTAACATTAATTTTACCCTCTCAGAAAGCATCGAATTTCTTTGCATTTGGTTAAAAAACTGAAGTGAATTTTACTTCGCTGATCAAAATCTTCTCAGTTCTTTGCTTTCCCCAGAATTTATCCTTAGGTTTAAGGTACACTACTTTTACAATCAACTTAAAACCAAGTTGACTGTAAAAGTTAAAAGCTCAAAATCCATTACTTCTTTATATTAGTTTCTTTCATCAAGACAACTAATTCAGCTGCGCCAGTTTCTGCAAGGATGAAAACTCTCCTCCATACAACTGTTTCTACTCTGTTTACTTTTCATTCCTTACTTAAAGTAAAACTAACCAGTTCCTTTGGGTTTAAAATGCCAAAAATCTATTTCTGAATAAGTGTTTATCGCAGTTTTATAAGAATTAATCACTACTAGAATCACTACAGTAATCAGCCAAGCCTTGAAGGGCAGACAATGTTGATGTTGGTGAAATAGGTTGTGATTCCCTATTATGTGTTTCAAATTGTTTTGACGTGGAATGTTCTTGTGAATTTTCAGGACTGTTAGTTGCATCTTGAATTTCTGTTTTTATAATCACCGGCTTATTTTTTTTCATTTGTTTCTTAACAGCAACAATTCTTGATAAAAGTTCCCTTTGCGATGTTCGTTTATGTGCCACCATAACACCTTGTCTTGGTGGACCTGGTCTCAGATTCATTACGTCAGTAGACGAACAGCTTGGTTTTTGGTCTTCATCCACAGGCTCATGCTTTATTTCTAATTTCGCATGAACTGATGAATCCATATTTTTGTTTTCATCGTCCAGTATTCGTTTAATAATTTTGCCGTCTTCCGTTCTTCCGTATAATTTCTGGATGAATTTTTCATCTTCTTCCTGCAGCCGTAAAGCCTGGAACAAAATCACCTTACCTAAAAATGTTACGACAGGGAATGCATAAATATGTCATTGCTAGCGTCAAAATAACTCGATTAATGAATATAAATCCAACTCACTTCTGCTTGAGTTCCGTCTAAATTTTGAAAGTACTGGTCTGGGCCAAACGTTTCATGTCGCCGATTTGTCTCTTGTAATTCCTCTAATTTACCTGAAAATTAACCATTTTTAGTTCACAAGAAGTAATAGTTTGTATTAGTAATGCATTTCTATCAACGATAATGACCAACCACAATTTGTTTGAGAAGCAGTGTACTTCTTTTAATAATTTAGTATGCGCGGTCAAGTGAAGTATCAATAACAGAGCACTCAAAAGATCAACAGTTATTAATGGAAAGTGGAAAAGGTACTTATTAGAGTATCACAGTAAATATCATCGGTATTAATTCCTTTATTTACCTAATGCTTCCATTTCGGCTCGGCTCATTTTTGTTCTTTTTTCAAGCATTTTCATGGGGTCCTTCTTTTCTTCCTCCTCTTTCGTTTCTTTTGCTTTTTCCTCCTGCTGATACAACTTGAAGGCTTCGAAAAGACGAGTTGCTCCATGCTCTTGCTGATAGTCACAATTTTCCAAATCCGTCTTAAATGTTATTTCGGCTAAACAGTTTGGACATCTGTAAGGTCGCAATATGTAGGTCACAGATTTTGGAACAAAAGGAATTTGAGAAACTAAATAGAAAATGAAGTCACTCAGAAGAACGAACCGAAAATAAAACCGGAAGATTTTCAGCCCCAAATAAGTTTCACCTTCCGCTGTCTCACGTCTCATGTTAAACTTTTTCCCCTGAAATTGAGTGAAAATTAAAAAACTTCAAAAGTAGAGTTACAATTCTTATATTCCGTTCTCTTTATGTTGCTTTACACAGTACCTGTGCTCTTTATTCACAGAGCTTAGCGGTCATGTAGAATTAAATGAAGATCGACTTGTGCTTCCAATTCACATGATTATCATCGAAAAAAAATCACAAAGAGACTTGAGAATGGAACAAATGTACCTTATATATGTATTCATGGCAAGTGTCACATTGCATATTATAAGGAGCCATAACACGCTGTACAAACTGTCTATTACGCTGTCCTTTAGCTCTTGGGATTTTCGAGGGGTCAAAGTCCGGCGGATAATACTTCTGCAAAATTTTACTTCTTTGAAACGACAAACTTATACATAAATGATTCAGTGTTTCACGACCTGGTAAAGTAGCTCATTTGTATATATCATTTTAAATTTATAGAGTTACTGCTAGATTTCCTTAATCGCGCTTATCCTTTTTCTTTGTTCTAAACGAAAAATATGGCAATAGCAACATGGAGAAATCTTTGTACTGGTCTCATTGAAGGGCCTTGTTACATATAGATTTGATTATAAAATGAAGTCTAAAATTAAATTACAGTGCAAAACTAACCTGGAAAACCTTCCGTTCAGTGCCCGTCATGTCCAATTAATTATTCAGTCCTCACACATGCATTTATCACAAACGAAAATAGACAAAAGCATATCCGAATGGCGGTCCGTTAAATAAACGAACCCTCCAAATGATACAGGCTTTTTCACAGGATAGTTCGTCCCTTCACCGGAGCTTCCATGTTTCAAATAGGGTCGCAGTTGAATGTAGTGGCAAAATAGTTATACTGAAAGAGAGCAAAGGGGAAAGAACAATAAGTTTTAGGGACCATTAATTTTAAGGTTGGAAAGTCCTTAATATTAATGAGAAGAATTTACAAACTAACAAGTAGTAATAAAATAATTGGAAACTGAATACAATGTATTTAACAGTCAAAATAAATTTAAATATTGGTCAACCTGATGAATGGTCACTTGCAGTAGTAATCTCATTCAAAAAGTTTCTTGTCATCGAAGTTGATGCTGTAGCTGGAGAACTGTATTAATTAATGCTCATTGTGTCCTTTAAGTAATGACAGTACTGACCTGAATTAAAAAATAACCACCTATAAAAGAAAGTTAACATTACAGAACAAAGCTATTTGAAAAGATTTCGAGTTTTTTTAGGAATGAGTGTGATCAATTACGATCGGAGCTATTGAAGAATACAAATAGATTACTTTAAATTTTTCGCATTGTCAGAAAACCACTGGTTAGCGAACTTCGTGACTTCCGAATTATACGAAAAAAAGCTTTGCAAAAGTATCTTTTCCATATCTGTATAGAGCAGTAATTATCACTTTTAAAAAGAATATCAACAATTGGCATAAGTGGTTATGCAAATGATTACAGGACTTGTTAGAATTGTTGGAGCAATTTGTTGGAGCATTCCATGATTGTGTACAAATCTGTTATTTAAAATTCTTTGTTATCATTTCTATTGAATGGTAAAACTGAAACATCATGAGTCTGCCGACCTAACGTTTGTTTAGCATATTTTACTTTTAGAATGTAGCTTTTCTACTGCTATAGTGAGTTCTAGGTTCCATTATTAAATTAAAAAAGTGTGTAAAAAAAATAATAACAATAAACATTCTAAATAAATGTGGATGAAATGCAGAACAGAGATGTTAATTGAATGCGCTGTTGAGGAATTATCAACCTGGTAGACAGTGTAATAATTTTTTAAATCGTTAAACTCAATTCATGAAGCGAATACTTTCAGCGTTCCTTGTTATCAATTTATATGTTTATAAGTTCTAAGGTAGACTTCGCTTATTGTATAATAATGAAATCCTGAAATAAAATTAAGTTAATATAAAATTCCATTGCTTAGCAGCTGTTAGTTTACAGTTACCGATGTCATTTTAAATAAATCAACTAGTAAAATCGTATATGAATATTTGTTATACTGCATAATTATTAAATTAAAAAAGTGTGTAAAAAAATAAAAAATAATTCGTATAAGGAAGGTACGAAGGAAAAAATATGGGGAAGAAAAAAGAAAACCTGATCAAGTCATTCAGTTCCCATAATCACGAAAACTCTTTATCATTTGATCACAAATGATCACTTAAGTACAGAGTTGAAAAAACCACAAAATATACAACAGATTTATTGAAATTAAAAAGAATTCGAAACCCTAAGCAATATCTTTTTTTCTTACATGATAAATGATTTAACATATAATTGGCTGTATTATTAAATCATTAATATATTATCCTTTCCAAATCTTAATATAGTTTACTCTCAAATTGCTTTCAACCAGCAGATTCTGTTAATTACCTTGAATTTAGTCCAAAAAAATCAAGTTACAAATTATTTTAGAGCTATTCTGCTATGACATGCGCAATTATCTTAGAAATAATAATAAAAATACAAAAAATTGAAACTTTGAAGTTTGCATAATATGTAAATACGCTTAAAAAATTGTTTATAAATTTAATAACATTTTATAATTATGGATACATTCGTTTTTTACTTGTAGTGTTGTAAAGGGGCAGCTAGGAGTGCATTTGGAAAAGAATCAGAAACAGTTTGTTATCAAATAACCTAAAGAAATAGGCGATACGATCAAATTGTATTATTGCCGTTGGCAACCAACAAATCATTTCCCTTTTTTATTGGACGATTTCTTTTAGTTTGGTTTCATTGCCCTTTTTTCCCGAAGTGATTTTATTTTCAATATAGAAATCTTTCCTTTAATTTTTAACTTGGTTAGATTCTTTTAATTCCCACACTATTTTAAGAGGTTATTTTTGCTATTTCACTGACTACTCACCCACTGGATGAATGTTATCAGGCAGAATCCCCAGTTCGAAATGCATCATACCAAATATTTAATAATTTTGGCCTCAGAAAAGAGATATTTTCACTAGAATGACACTAACTTCTGAATAAAATCCAGTTGTTGGCTAATTTCATGCTTCACAACATTGAATAAATTTTGAAGTTCTTAATTTCGAGCCATATCCATTCGGATAGATAAAATCTATTCAAAGCAAGTTTGCCGAACAATATTGCTTACAGTACCATTTTATTTACTTCTCTTAGTTATTACGCAATATGAATGGAAATCAAGCTCCATTCTAAATCAGTTGTTCTAAAAACTAAATTAATCAAATCTAAGCAGCGAGAATCACAACAGTGGTGTGACACATTATCACGCAACGCACGCAAAATGAGACCGGTTTTTATCCTTCGCATTGCTCTTCTTCACAATGTTTTCTTGGTGCTCCTCTTCACCGCCCTGTAAACGTTTTATTTACATTATTAATATATTCTGCGAATATTTGAATAGAATATTGGATAGTACATTAATTTCTGAGATGATATCCGTATAAAGACACGTGCACGTGAAGGTTTTGGATAGTTCCATATCTTTTATAGCACTTATGTCATCAACTATATCCTATTTCTTCCCTATCATAAGTAGAAAATGTTTTACTCAAATGGATTGAAATAAAAACCGATGGCTAATTAAAATGCGACTAAGACACGCAATGCAATATATAGCTGTGTATTGTAATAACTTGTGAAATTTCCAATACCGAAAGTAGTCACGAGAATAACATTTTTCCAAGACACAGAATTATACTGCTAACATTTGTTTTTCTCAATTTCGAAATATTGAGCTCATTTCTATCGCTCAAATCACTAAAACGTTACGCCCATAAATCGTAAATCTTTTTGCTCGCTTAAATAAGTTGAGAGTCATTTTGAAAGTCTCAATTTACATAAGGCAAATTTCCTGCACGATGGGATGAACTTACTGCAATGACTGTACGAATCAAAAATTTTAGTTTATGTTAAAGCGTTCTTTTGAAAACATATGAGTAGAATGACTCATAAAGACCATAAGAAAATTATCGCTTCAGAAACTGTAGAACACATTGGTTGAACAATGTCTTACTCTAACGTCAATCTTTCTTCTCAATTCATCAATCTTTCTTATCAATTCTCAATTCGTCAATCTGCTTTTTCAATTTCACACAATGACGACACAAAGTATACTCCTCATACAAATACATAAACCGGTAGTGGATATGAGGGGGGGAAATCTTAATGGTAAAATTTCCATTATATGATTGATGTTCTTTTAGTCGCTTTTATAGAACATCTGTAAATTTTTGTGATTCAATTTGATAACGGGAATTTTAAGCGTCCTATGAACTCCACAAGAGCCCAATGATGCTTTGTTGTAGTAAAATACGATGAACACTCTTTCCTGCCTATAAAAGCACACCTGAAGAACCCAGTGATAGGAGATGCCCATCACGCTTTCTTATGATAAAATACAGTTTGTTGGGAGAATAATTTCACTTAGCAGCCGTGTTTTTAGAGAGCAAAGGTTTTGGTGTGTTCTTTTTTTTAAATTGAATGGTTTTCAATTAATCTGTTAATGAAGAGGTCGGGTATGGAATATTACACTGTTTACTATAGTATAATAATAAATAATAACAATTTAACATTACGAAATATTATGGCTCATCAGATAAGTTAATAATGGAGCAGACGGATGGACCATAGTGGACAAGATATGATACCGATCACGGACACGTAGTAGGTTAGTATATATCATTAAACTGATTGAAGTGGAATGGTAAGGTTGAACAAAGGAAGAAATGTAAATAGAATGGACAGCTATAGTTCATCGATCCGTTATCGCCCACTCATTCCATTTTTGACAACTCTGTCCTCATTTTATCAATTTATCGTGCGATCGGCGAAACCAGTACTACAACTGATAATAGTTTGGCTTGGGCGTACTGTTTTATAGTTATATACATATTCTTAATTTGCATCCCCTGATGACATCAGCATAAAGCACACTGAATAATAGACTTCGAATGTTCAGCAAGCCGAAATGTTTGTTAAATATTTAAAAATATGATAAGATAAAAAAAAGTATAATGCTTGACGGCTTTTACTTCAGTCTCTTCATCAAGATAGTTTGATGCAATAGATGGGCAATTCTTATATTCCACATAACATTTCAGTCATTTTCCACCTGTCATTATTGTTCGGTCATCTAATCAGTGAAATGTTTTATCTCATAGTATGTATTTAAAAGTGTGACTCAGGATTGAAAAAAAAAAAAAAAAAAAAAGTGAAACATAATTTGATTCTGTTCATTCCGCTTTTGAAATTTCCTGTCATTTAATTATTTTTCTTTTTAAAAATATTTTCATTGAGTATACATACCATATTATTTTTCAGTAGGAGACTGTGTAACATCGTTACCATCGAAGGTTACGATACTTTTGTCAATCATAGATATTACAAAGCTATTGATTTTGTATGCTTCCTTAGTTTTATAAATAGAAGAAAGCTTAAAAGGTTAACCTGTTCTCTCTTACCGTTCTTATTTTGAGAAATTTCAACTGTTGAATTATGCAAATTTAGCTACTATTGCGATTTTTTTACCTTTTAGGTAAAAAGATGGATGTCACTTTTGTGTACTGTGAGGATTCGTTATTTAAGAAGTAATATTTAAGAAGTGAATTCCAGAAAGTCGGTACTGATCAGTGTGATCGGTCCCGGTAGGGATTGGTGGTGGACGTTGTTTTTACAAGACAACGATGAATATTAACGCAGAAATGAAGCATGTTATCCATGTAGCTTCCTTCTTCTGTTGGCTTGTACTGTTCGAAGTCATATGTGGTACCATACCTCTTTTTTCACAAACCCGAAGCAGATATATCTCAACTGCATCGCTTATTGACAGGTTTATTTCTAATATTTTATGAAATATTTTCATTCACGTTAAGGTGTAAAGCGAGAAGACTTTAACTATCTTTGTATTTTAAACATTTCAGCCTTACAGAATCTTTGTATCATTCAAGTGTGAACATTTGATTTTAGTGGATAATCTGGAAGAGTGCTGGAAATTTTTGAGGTTATAAATTTTGTTAGAATGAGATGAAATTTTTTATCGTGAGATAAATGTTTTATCTTTTTTCGTTCCAGTTTCTCTCGTCTAATTCGTACTTTTAAGATCTTACCTTCAGGCCACTTTATGAAGAAATATGGCTATTTTTGAATGGATAGCTTTTTGTTAGATAATTAATTGCTTTACGATGCACATCTAAATTATATATGGTTGGATATTTAGGTACGGGTATTTTGGTACACTTATTCTTTATATCATACGTGTTGCATCGCTACTAGTTTTACCTCAGTGCATATTTAACATGCTTGGTTTGGTGCTATTCAATGGCTTCCGGGAAAAGGTCAGATTGAAGGCTGCACCGTTGCTAGCTCCACTGGTTTGTTTTCGAGTCGTAACTCGCGGTGACTACCCTGAACTTGTAAAGGTATCATTTCTTATTTCGAGGAAATTCTTTGCTGATTTATTTATTATGTTTTGTTTTGATACTTTAAACAGCTATAATTTCATATCTTTATTTTCTAACAGTGTTATCACAAATGAGCATTTTGTTGCATTCAGTTCAATGTAAGAGTCATATCGATGGACTGCTAACACTTGTTTTATCACAGTGTCCTGCTATTCATAAGAATTTAATAAGTTCAAAACTAAAACAAAATAAACCTGTTCCTGTGGAACTTCTAATGTTCGGAAATTTTTCAGCAAAATGTAAATTACAATATGACGAAATGTCGGGAAGTCGGAATGGAGAATTTTTTTTTTGAAGTGGTGACGGATAAGGCGATCTGTTTGCCAGGCAAACCCCGTCTTCGGGAAGTTATTGTTCCAAGCGCTTATAGGTATATTTTTAAAATTTCCTTGAATGGACTCAGATGAGTCATTGCTTGCCCTGTCAGATTAGAGTTAATTAAACAATTAAGATAATGTTTTGCTGTGCTAGTTACTTTATGATTTGTCTGCCTTAGAACAAAAAGTGGAGCTCAATTCAAGTCACGCGCCTTGCAGTACTGTTTGGAAGACGGTGTCAATATCCTTCAAGATGATAACTGGATTGTACATCTTGATGAAGAAACTTTATTAACGAATAATTCTGTTCGTTTTTTTGTTTATTATTTTTACATTTACTGTTTTTTTTAGGCCTAGTTTATGGTTGATTCTTTTCGAAGAAATAATAGTCGCTTTTTATTTATTGATGAGGGAAATTTTCCCTTTAACTGAATGTAGTTTAATTAATTAATCATATAGTAAGAAATGAATGCTTTGGGTTCTTTTCAATAATCTAATGACATAATCGTATGACATTAATATGATTGTATCTTTGACTTATTAAATGGGTTTTTAAGATCTGTGGCATATTAAACTTCTGTGAGGATGGAAAACATCAGTTTGGTCAAGGAGTAATTACTTATGCAAATGGTGATATAGTTAATTGGATTACAACTTTATCAGATTCCTTCCGGTTCATTCTTTTTTTTATTCAAAAATTGTTATATTCCGGCTTCACATTTTTTCAGCTTTCTTTTTTGCTCATATCCTTGAACTAAAATTGATTTTTTGCTAGTAGAGATTCTGTTTAATTTATCAGTAATTCTATTATAGCGTAGCAGATGATATGGGCAAATTACGCTTTCAGTTCAGATTCTTCCATAAACCACTTTTCGGTTGGAAAGGTTCATTCGTCGTCACCCAGGTAAGCATTTAGCTGTTAGAAGTTTGAGTTCATCTGGAAGATACCAAACTTCACAGATGGATTACGGATCTGTTTTTCCGTAATTTTTGCTAATACGGAAATCACTCTTGTTGTTTGGTACCATGCCCTGTCTTCTAAATTAAATGTAGGTTGGAGCTGAACGCAGTGTATCATTTGATCATGGCCGTGAAGGTTCAATAGCCGAAGATTGTTTTTTTAGTATGATTGCATTCAGAGATGGATATACATTTGATTTTATTGAAGGTATGCGGCGTATTTTCTTTTTTTTTTTTTTTTTTTCTTGAAATAGTTTAATTCCATCGTTTTATATTTTGCAATTGTTAGAGTAATATAACAGTCGATACACTAGTTAGTGGTTTTGTCAAAATAAATTAGCTATTGATTTCGGTTTATCATTTTCTTGATGCACAATTGTTATTAGGCGAAATGCTTGAAAAAAGTCCTTTTACTTTTTGGGACTTTTTACAACAACGAAAGCGATGGCTCCAAGGTATCTTTTTGACAGTACATGCTAAACAAATCCCAACGAGGAATAAAGTAAGTATTCTACGTTTTCGGCAAGTGTCCTACTTTTTCAGTCATATCTTAGTGATATCGGGGGAAGGGTTATCACATTGATTTTTTAACATTTCTGGAAGCCTTCTAGAACATTGCATCAAACGAAAAACAGCAAATATAAGGTAAGGGATTCTGTTCACAGCTATGAAGTTAATATATATTGTTTGCAGATATTATTAGGATTGTCTTTCTATGCATGGGCATCGATGCCAGTAACCACTATGCAAATGTATCTCTTTCATGCATTTCCACTTCCGCCTTGCTTTATATTTGATTTTTTGGTTGCATTTGTTGCGGCCGTTAATCTCTACATGTACATTTATGGTGTACTCAAGAGCTTTTCTCACAAATACAGGTTTGTTCGTCATCACTTTCATATGAATTCAAATTTCAGATACTTTAATCTTTACCAAAATGATCAGACCTTTCCACTTTGTTATTATAAATTTTCTAATAGCAAAGCTATATTTCGTTCAGAGTTCTTAAAAATTTATTTTCCATTCCATATTTATATGTCTTTTTTGTCTGCTAATAAATAATAAAAAGCAAGCAAAACCAATAACATTTTTATTGTAGTTCGATCTGGAAATGAGTTGATTTCTTCAAAAATGATCAAAATTTAAGTATAGAAGCTTTTAGAACCGTAGGATTTTCTTCAAAAAAAATCTCAATATTTCTACCTTTTTTTCTTTTTTTTTTTTTTTTTTTTGAAGTACATTTGATTTATTTGTTTTGGGAAGGATAGGTTATTAGTTCCTGTGGGAATCAACGAAAATATTATTGTAAATTCTTTTGAGGATTTCAAGAAAAATTGCAGGCATAGTCCAGGTCGATTGTGCTTGTATATGGTTGGTGCGCTACTAACGATACCATTTAATATATGTATAGAGAATATAGCAGTAATATGGGGAATGCTTGGAAACAAGAATGGCTTCTATGTTGTGAAAAAGGATGAAAGAATGATTTCAGTGTTGTGACGAACATACTGCACAGTCGTCTTGCTGGTAGTATAGAGTAAGGGATTGTAAAACTAAACCCCTTACCATTTATTCTTATTACCGTTAACACTGATATTAACGTTTAAAGAAAGAAATGCCTGAAGTTAGTATAGAGTAAGAGATGCTTACTGCATTGCTGTAAATTAGGAATTACGATTGGAATTGATAGATTTTAAAGATTTAAATTGGAGATTTAATACTTTATTACTTGGCAATAACTAATTTTAATTGCCTACTGTTTAAAAGGAAAGATGATATCATCTGTTTTTTGATAGATGTGGCATAATTATTTGCAATATATGTAAAATGCTTATAAAATTACTGAATTTGGAATTCCTGTTCTTTCTTCCGATCATATTTTTAGTTAATTATTCATGTATTGATTTATGATCGGATGAAAGATTGCTGAGCATAACTTGCATTTCGCATGTTCGTGTAATATACTTGTCAGTTATTTACAAAGACAAAAAATTGCAGCACAATTTTGGAGTGTGAGAGACCGATAATATGCCACAAATGCAAGGTGTTTGCCTATATAACACGTACGCAACTGTTTCTCATTTATAGGATTGCAGATACGATTCATTTAAATTGCTTAAGAAGAGAGAGTATTTAGTTTTGAAAATTAAAAGAAAACTGTAAATATATCAGTAAAGATAGAGACATATTGTCCGAAGGAGGAATCATACCATATATGTTTTTACTAACATCAAAAAAATGGGACATTTGCTAGAAATAAATCTTCCTTTTATCGAATTTTATGCTTACAGCTCAAGTAAATATATGTGACTTGCTATGTGATCTCAAAAGAAATTATATTGTTCATTCATTATTTCTTGCCTTCAATCGATTTGTATGTGTGTATTATTTTCTTTTATGACCATTTGTATGAGCTGCTTTGAATAGTTATTATTTTACAGTTTTTCATATCATTATGGCAAATTTTTGCAATCATATTTTATAATTTAAGATTCAGTAGTTTTGAAATACTTTAAAATCCTTGCACCCTCTTACTTCCTCACGAATTTAGAAGGTTGAGATTAAAAGTCGTTTACGCAGAAATAAATTGATATAATGATGTGATTTTTTAAATGTTTATGTTCTATATTGTAGTTAGATTGTTTGCATGTTATTGGATGTAAACGGGTGTTTTAGCTGGTGATATTTAAGATATTAATTATATTAAAATTTGTTGCAACTATTATTTCTATATTATTTTAGCCTCCTGAGAGTTATTTTGAGCTTTAACTGATTCAGATGTCTAGTGCGATCAATAGGAACCTAAGATTCATGGTTACGCTATTGACTCACTTTTCTTAAATCATTATATATCGCTAATTGATTTCCATATTATGGAAATTTTGCTTAGAAGACATAGAAATTTTCGATTCCGATTTCATTCTGAAATTTAGCTTAATTTTCGAATTATTTTTTAGAGATAAAGTTTTTTTTTTGCCAATCTTGTTCTAGACAAAAGCGTCATATTTCTCTAAACTTGTACCCTAATTAGATCGCTTAATTAGCGTTTCGTAGTGACTTCATAATGTTTTCTTACATTTTTTTTTTTTATTTAAATGAACAAAAAATCTGGTCACAAAAGGTAAGCAAATTCCATCGCTCACGTATAGCTGTTTTGTGCATATTTAGAGTTTCACTTTTTTGCATTATGAATTCTAAAATTTGATTTTTTAAACTTGGGCGGTTGATTTTTGTATGCTACTGCTTTTGTGCTCACCAATCTACTTTTTTGATGTTTTCCATACTGCTTTTTAAGCTGGCTTCTGGAATGTTTTTTTTTTTATTCGTGGATAGTTCGTACTCTAGTCTCACTCTGATCTTTACCGAACAACTTTGGATAAGATTTTGAAATCAATTTGTGGTTTTAAATGCATATTCAAAATCTTATTATTCTCGCGAAAAATTATCTGAGAAGACAGCTTATTAAATGTTTAGTGAGGCATTTGTAAAGAGCCATCTATTGCGCTGTACCTCCGTCACTTTCTTGGCTTCTGTCACACTAGAATTTTCTCTTAAAGTCTTCAATTTATGCTAAGTAATTAGACGATATTGCTCGAACCTACAGTTTGCTTTCACTTGTCTTTACCATTCTGAAATCAAATTATTTGTGCTTTACATATGCTTCTGAACATATCTTTTCATCTTATTATTGCTGCAGATTGATTGTTCTATCGCTCATGTCTTGATATAGTTAGCTCACAAAATACGCAAAAATTATAAGTTAATCCTGTTGATGTATCTTGATAACGGCATAGATGTTTAAAACTTTTTAATGTTTTCAAACAGTTTCTCATCGTCTGCTGCGGCCGTTTACGTAAATTTTATCTGATAAAAATATTTTATTGCTCCTGCTATATTCTTTTCACTGCCAAAAGTAGCATCAAATCTGTTTCTTTTTTTTTTCGATTTGATAACGCCGAGATTTGGTTGATACTGAGAATCTCTCTCTCTGCTCCGTAAATATAAATTTACACTAATCATTTGTTACTAATGATATCATGTAAATTATCCATTTCTGCGTTGGCACAGTCTGTCGAATAAGTCTCTTCTGTGTTTAATATTCATTTAATGTCAATCACTGATGATTTCATGTATATTAAAATGTTATACTTGAAATTGAGTCTTGTTTGGAAAAAATGTACTGAGTCTACATGCGTTTTGTTTACATTTTGGTCTATGTAAATTATGAAGATTTTCTGGATTGAAAAAACTCGGAACTACCACATAAACCATAATACGCCTCCCAAAACTCCACTCCCTAAAACTCCCAAAAAATTTATAGCTTACGAAAATTGCCAAACAATATTGAAGTCAACAAACTACCATAGATGGAAACAATTCTGAAGGCAAACAAAAAATGCAGTTGAATAAACTGGCTGACAGTCCAATACAAGTTATTAATCAAACAAATAATGCATGCAGTTTAATGACACAACTGTGATGAATAAGACAGTGACACATCAATGTGTCCAAGGTTCAGAAGATAACGAATTCCAAAAATGGGTGCACCATGACGTGGTGATATAAAAAACAAATAAAGTGCACTGAATGCAGAAGTTGAGTTCAATACTAACAAAATTTTTAGAAATGATGAAAAAGTATATATTTCTATGTAGTAGAGTTTTTGTTTCTGTATACATAGCCTAGAACTGAAAGATTAACTTTGCCCAATATGAAAGTTTACTAGTTAAGAATGTTTTGGCTTATTATTTCACTTAAAAAAAAAAAGACTTTACGAAATTTGCAAGACGATTGCTCTATAATGTATTTGCAACCAATAAAGGATGCAAAATATAGCAAGAAAACGAATCAGTTCATGCGTTTAAGGATTTCAGATCCAAGTGGGTTTTGATAGATATCGCCTATCATTGTCCTGATTAATAGGCCTGATGACGCTACAAAACAGCTAATAGATAACCTGACAAGTGTCTCCACTAGGTTATTTAATGAAAATATTTAAGAGCAAACAAGAGAATAGCTGCAATACATCCTCAAACTTTAAATTACGGCTTCATTTCCTTGATTTCTCCATTAAAAAAAATCTGTTCCAATAATTAATTCCCATAACATGTTATTATGCTCCAGTATTTCTAATAACGTAGCAAAATATAACTACCATAATTTCCTTCATTCTTTTAATTTCTAACTGACGAAATAGAAAAAAAAACAATGGAATGTACATATGAGACCGCATTTGCAACTAGGAGATCCTCTCTAGGGATCAAGTCGCTACTTCTTAATCTAGCAAACAATCACTAGTGCATAATGTGTTTGCAATCAATAAAGGATGTCTCTTAACTTATTGACTTCTACTGATATGTGATCCATATATATTTGTATCTGCAAAAGTATATTATATATACATGTGTATGGCGTAACCTAACCCCGTTCATGTTGCATGCAACACAACGAAGGCAGAGCGTATGTGCTGGGACCAGAAAGATGGTGAACTATACTTGAGCAGGATGAAGCTAGAGGAAACTCTGTTGAATGACCGAAGCGATTCTGACGTGGAAATCGATTGTCTGACTCTGATATTGGGGCGAAAGTAATAGCTGGTTTCCTCTGAAGTTTCCCTTAGGATAGCTGGAGTACACAGATAAAGCAGTTATATTCGGTAAAGCGAATGATTAGAGGAATTGTGTGACGAAACGTCTTCAACCTATTCTCAAACTTTCAATGAGTATGACGTCTTGCTTGCTTAAATTTTTTATGAAGCACAGACATTTAATGTGTGCGCCAAGTGGGCCATTTTTGGTAAGCAGAACTGGCGCTGTGGGAATAAATCGCAAGACAAATGAGTGTGATCACTAAGAGTGTGATGAAACTTTTTTTGTTTTACACAAAAGTTACCAAAAACTAACAAAATACTGGTAAACGAGTGTCATACGTCGAGCTACACGAACGGAAGCAGCAATTAATTTGACTCTAAATTTTTCATTTATAACGAAACAGCCACAGAACAGTTTCATCATTAACCCTTCTTCTTTCCTCGCTTTGCCTCGACAAAGTTCCGACAGTCAGAAAGTCAGCACATCCTAGAATTACCAGGATGAATGGTTCGACCATTTGATTAAGCTTAGCTTATATGTCGGACAGCTTAGCTCCAGTGGTAACAGTGCAAGTCGAATTACGCATTTGACGTATACTTATACCATATCTATTGATAACTCGTCATCATTTTCGTTAAATATGATGAATTTGCCATAAAAAATTACAAATATTTTTTTTTCAGTGGTCATGTACCTATAATTTTCAAATGTATTCATAGCCATACGTTAAATCTCTTTTTAATATATGCGAATGTAGTGTATAGCTGTTTTGGTAACATTAAATTATGCAATTTTTTTTTTCCTTAGGGTAATATAATAATAATAATAATGAATAATGAAATCCTAACATACGATAATCATTAATTATAGATATGGGGAAAACATCCAAAGACAAGCGGGATATATATTATCGTCTGGCGAAGGAAGAAGGATGGCGAGCTCGCAGTGCATTTAAGTTAATGCAGATCGACGATGAATTTAATATATTTGAAGGTGTGGATTTTGACGACTTAAATGTTCAGATATAAAATGAAAACTTCCTTGAAAGAAGCTCCAGTTTGGTACAATGCTCAGTGTTTGGTTAGCTTTCTGTACATTAATAACATTAGTTTGCCCTGAAATCCATCCACTAATCGTGATTCGTGTTTAGCGAAGTTAGTAAGTCTGTCAATGGTTGCACACTGTCAGGGTAAAGGACATGTTTTTGATACAAATGTGGTGAAATAATTTACACTATACTGCAAAAATCATGTGACTCATGCTTTACAAAATAGATTTGCAGTTAGATCCCATGTCTGACTTAATTTTGTTACTTAAGTTCTTGAGAATATAAATGATAATGATATTCTTCAGAAAAGCATAAAGGAAGCAAAATTTAATATGGATAAAATTTTAATATTAATCAAGTAAGTGAATTCACTTTCTCTTAATATTACATCAGAAGTTTTCTAGGTGTTCATCGAGTTGTTGATCTATGTGCTGCACCTGGTAGCTGGAGTCAAGTTTTATCAAAAAAAGTGTATTTTGCGCAAGATGAAAAGGAACGGAAAGCTGTGAGTCCTGCAGACCTACAGTTTCTTTCTAGCAATAAAGATGATATGGGAAACAAAATTTATTGATCATATGTGTTTTTTTTTTTCACAAGCTTTTCATGTCCATACTTTGTATATGTTTCGAATTGCAGGTACGTATAGTCGCTGTCGATTTACAACCAATGTCACCACTTCCTGGTATAATTCAATTGCAGGGTGATATAACCGAGGTTTGTACGGACTTCTCAAACTTTCATTTTTTTGCATATTTCTTTCCTGAAAATCGCGCTTCTAAAACTAATTTTTTGTAGCTTTCAGGCTTGTACAGCCAAGAAAATTATTTCTTATTTGGAAGGATCAAAGGCTGATTTGGTTATTTGCGATGGCGCTCCCGATGGTAACATTTGATATTTGGTTTCTTATATGCTTGGAATTATTTTTATTAGTTCGGTTTATATACATTAGGTCGATTGTTTCAGTAACTGGACTACATGCACTTGACGAATACATGCAGAGTCAGCTTGTTTTAGCAGTAAGTGTCATCCAGTGAAATTCGAAGTTTTATTATTACTGCTGAACTGATTGCTGTTTCAAGTTATTAGTAATACTTCAGGAAATTTTTTCAAAAATTTTTGTATTTATCAGTTTCTAAACCAAAAGTGAATCAATTTGAATCAAATTTTAGGCATTGAATATTGCAACGTTCGTATTAAAAGAAGCAGGAACCTTTGTTGCTAAGGTTCGTTCACTTAAAATTCTTATGAGTTATTTTGTGTCCAAGCTATTGCATATTTCTTAAAAATAAAAGTTTGAATTTAGATATTTCGTACACGTGATATCACACTACTATATGCGCAGTTGAAAATTTTTTTCAAAGAGGTCTACTGTACGAAGCCACGTAGTAGCCGGCAAAGTAGTTGTGGTGAGAAAAATGAATCTATCATGTATTGTTTATTTTAAGAATATGATACATTTAATGCATTGAAATTATTAATGAAATTTCGTTTTTAATTTCAGAGGCATTTGTTGTTTGTAATGGATTCAGTTTACCGAAGAGATATACACCAACGATGAAAAATCCAATGTTATGTCCAGACTATGGTAAGTGAGATGTTGCCTTTAAAAGCTTATCCCAGTTATTGATATTTTCTAAAATTTCTACTTTTCATCCAATTTGCATTTAAACAGCTGTAATTTTAATAGCGGCTTCAGATGCTGAAGTGAACAGTTTGTTGGGATCCAGCCGCCTTCTGGTACCATTCCTTGCCTGTGGTGATTTGTCCGGCTGGGATTCAGATCGGACATACGAGCTGGAATTGCCAGGTTTTTCGGATGAAGCACAGCGGAGACGATATGAATATAAGCCAGTAGTGCAGCCTCCTACGGAACCTGCATACAAAGTAAGGCTTCTTATTCTTTTTTGTATTTTCTCGTATTTGAAAATCTTTTTAATTTCAGAAAGCATGTACCTTGAAAAGATCTGGTAAACTTGCTAGACCTGAAATGGAAGATCCGTTCTTCAAATGTGGTATCCCAATTCGAAAGGCAGCAGCGGACAAAAAAGGAATGGATTCTGCTGGAAATTTAGGGATTGGTGACGAGTTAGCTGAAGCATTTGCAGAATGCTTTGTTTTTAATAATTAATATTGGGTGACTGGTAATAAAAATTCGGGTAAGATTTGATGAACTTGGATTGAGCTGATTGTTTTTTACATTTTTTTTCTAAGTCACTACTTTTGTTCTTTCGAAACATTAGATTGCCTCGGACCACGAACATTCCTAATAAGACCAAGTATACTTTTTAATCATCGGAACAATCTGTTTTAAAGGTTAATTTTTCTTATTGTTTTATACTGGAAATTGCGTTTTGTGCAAATTTTTGAACTTCGAAAATATTTGCATTAAAGCTATGTGTTTTCTCCAATGAACGTTGTTATCTTTATTTTTAAGTGGAACCTTTCCACTGGATTTTATATTATTGTTATTTGAATAAATCATTTTCTAAAAGTGTTTCCTCACGTTTTACATAATGCTTAACCATCAACTTTCATGGTGTCGCTAACCAAGCCGTTCTAAAAAATGAAAGTATCAGCATTTAGAATCACAGTCTAGTGCAATCTTTTTTAGTTATTAGATGGGAAAAATTGGCAAGCAATGTGCAAGGGAAGAAAACAATACTGCATGCTGTGTGGTAGACAATGTGGATTACATTAAGGAGTTTTGAGACTGTAAGAGAGGAAGTTTGATTGTTGAGGTAACTTGTAAATCTCTGGAGTCCATTGCTCTAGCGTGTTTTTAATATATTGTAGTGCAAATGAGACTATGGAATAAATTGTTTTGCGTTCCCGGAGAAACCACAGTGAAATATCTACCACTCGTTGGTCTAGAAATACATGCTCAAATAATGACCAGGTTTTTTAATGATGTTTCGCTTTTGAAGTGATGCCCGTTATTTGCTTTTATTAGGTTGTGAGTATTTCAAACATATAGATCTTTTACTAGGGGATTGACATGGTCCTTTATTATTCACTTCTATTTGTCACTGTCCAAGATCAGGATATAACATGATGGCTTATAGAAAGTTTCAATTTTTTTAATCTTTAAATAAATTCCAGATATGAGTAGGCTGTGTGAGATAAAGATGGTCTATAATTTAATGATTAAGTATGGTGAAAGTTTACATAGGACGGTGCAGCTAATTATCAAGTGCGGGCAAGATCAAGCAGAACTTTTAAGAGAAAGAAGATAGATGGTAGTCCCTAATAAATTTTTAATACATGCGTGCTAGTGTCCACATCTGCATAATTTTCAGAACGAAGTTGTTCTCAGGAGCAACATTTGATGATGATGCCCGTACAAATACATCTGTTGCATTGTTCGATATAGCAATTCCTGGTACTCTTCCTGTCCTCAACAAAGCTGCCGTAATGGTTAGTTAGTGTCTTATTCACGACTTGTTTTTATGGCTCATACATACTAGGATACACTGGTTATCTGAGCTACACGAATGGTTTCTAAACAATTTGTTAGACAACAGAAATATTAATATATAAAATAGAGATGTTGACAATCGAATTGAAGAATATATGAAGTCAGCGCAAAACAATTGTTTGGTGACTGTAGGAAGTTATATAACGAACTGCAGTAATTCGAGTGATTCATTTAAAAGACAGACATTGTGCCAGAGTGGCATATAAATTTGTATTTGTTAATAAAATTATTTGATCTGTAAACAAATATTCCGAAAGATTAGATGTAAGAAGTGATTGTGATCCAGTATACAATTTTTCAACACTGATTGTGATATGGCTAGTTTTCTGAAAATCACCAATCTATGAGTTTTATGTCTTTGAACTTACGAATAACATATAAATAAATGAAATGAAATTGAGTCAGTTTAGTTAATAAAATGCAAATAAAACAAAAGTGAATTTCATATAAGTTTCATTTAGAAAGGTATAACAGCGGGTTTGCTGTTAAACTGTACGATACCGGAAAGATGTCAGTTTGTACGTAAACATTACTTCTATGCAGACATGCCAGCTGGCTATCAGATCACTCAACAAAACCATCCTATTGCCTATTCTGGTTTCTTTGAATATTACGTCCACTGTAATGATGAGGCCAGTGTTCTTTAATTATTATTTAAAATTTTTCTACTTTGAATATAGCACAAATTGTATTCTTTATAGTCATTTATTCCGTACAAAAAGTGTGTAGATATTCTGAGAATTCAATTGGAACATGATAGTGGTCGTACAATTCACGATTTCAGTAACAATCGTTCATTGATCGATTTCAATCGAGCTGGTAATAATAATCTTATTCATTTTTTTTTTTTTGTCGTAACACCGAAGAATTGAAACTGAGGTTTGCCTCTAGAATTTTGAAAAGAGTTATTTTGCAGGAGTTGCATTATTAGAAATAGTGACTTCTCCAACCATGAATTCCGCGTTAGAAGCTTACTGCTTCATTGAACAACTACGTTTGACTCTTATAGAAAATGGTTTGTGCGAAGGAGAAATGCAAAGTTAGCGTTTCTATTATATTAGAAGTTTCTCTTTGTCTTTCGTCGGTCAGTTAAACAGAAAGGAAGGAAAAGTTGTTTTAAAAAAATGAATCTATTAAAGAGGCTCAGTTTCGAGTGGACGTCAACATTTCACTTGGCGAAGATAATACCGGTAATAGAGGTGTTCGAACTGAGATCAAAAATTTAAATAGCTTACGCATGGTGTATACGGCTGTCAACAGTGAACTAGGTCGGCAGTACGAAATTCTTAGAGCTGGAGGCACAGTATTGAATGAAACACGTACTGTTGACCGCTATGGGTGGGTTATTTGCGTTTTCTGATATTGCCGGAAACAATAGTTTTTTATCACGTTTAAAGGTATGAAAAGATTTCTAAAAATTTCTCGTTCCAAACAGAAGACATTTTCCAGCAATACAATAGCAATGAGAGAAAAAGAAATTGAAATGGATTACCGTTTTATGCCGGAACCGAACCTTCCTCCTGTACAGATTAAACAAGAATGGATAGAAAATTGTCGTCTAATGCTTTCCAAACCGCGATATTTGAAGAACATCGAAGAATATGGCATGGGACCAGAAGTCGCACTACGAATTGCTGTTAGTTATTATTCATATATATCTTCCATATGAAGTAGAAGCAGAAGTTGTCTCCCAACTTCGTAAGGAAATAATTAGCTAAGATTGGCAGGAAGAAGGGCATAAGATTCTGGTTTTTGGTATGTTTGCATGAAGCTGGGTATACCCATATGCTTTTGGGTATTGAAGTCTATAAGGCATATATGCGTTTGATGAAACTACCGTGTTTATGTGTTTTGTATATATAGCGGCGTTGTTCATATTGTTTGGTAACCAGTTTGAACTTTTAATATATTTTTTTTTAATATATTAAAAATATTTCCAGTCTTAGAGCAAAACTATTAAAAGTAACTTTCGTTTAGATTTCGATTTATTATATGACTTTTCCATTTAGAATCAAAAAAACCTCGCAACATTTGTTGAAATGGTTTTAAATGTATGTGATGATGCTGCAATGGCTTCAGTATTAGTTGAGTGGACCTTTCTCTTGCAAACAATTTGTCGCAATTGCACAAAAAAATTCCCTGCATCACGGTAAGCTTGCTGTTTTCAAATAAATTTTAAATAAGATGCTATATTGTACGGTTGTTTCATCCGTTCCATTTATCTATATTTCTCTTTTGGAAATATTTTATAAATTCTCCTTCACCACCCAGTTTTTCAGAACAGTTTTCATTAATTATTTCGTGGAAACAGTACATCTTTTTCACACTAAACGATTAACCAAGCTGACAACTTTCGATCTCTTGCGAAGATATATAGAAGCAGAGTTAGACAAATCGCCAACCGAAGTATTGATTGGTTTCTCCTAGAACTTACACAATTCTTCATAATAAGGCAAACACGCCGGAAATCTATTTAAATTTTTATACGTACGAAAGAAGGCAAAAATATTTTTGTGTCATAAAATCTATAGTTGTTCACTGTTATTGTTTTCAGATTATAAATAAAGAGAATTTATGGCGAATACATGATAAAGATGAAATCATTCAAATTGCGGAGAAAGTTATTCGTGAAAATGACAAACTTGTAAGAAAAATACAAAAAAGTGGAGCAAAAAGACATGCCACTAAATTGCGTGCAGCTGTGCTTAATGAATGTAATCGACGAATTGAAGTTGATGAAATAAGTGAAATAATTAGACGAAAGCTTTTGTCAGGAAGCTAAACGTGTACTGAAATGTTTCGTGAAAGGACTTATTTGTTTTGTTTATTGATAATTTTTGCTCATTTCCTGCTTCTTGTGTCGCAGGACTGAATCACTTTTTTTATGAATCAATCTCAGGACAAAATGAAGTTGTATGTTCATTTTTTGACTGGAAATTAAAAAAGTTTTATCTGTTATTTCTGAGTGCTTCAATGATCGACGATAACTCAGTTGAGAAGTCTGAATGCATGAGTGGTGATGCACAAATAGCTCATGGAGTATACTTATGGAGCTAGCGGGACGCCGTTGCAGTAATGTTAGGTATGGATGAAAAACGAGACAACACGGAGATGGGCATGGAGCGATGTCTCATCGCAGCATGCTTGTATTATTGCAAGAAATTGCTTCGTGTTCTGCACCTTACTAAATCCATCCATTTACGAGCACAGCACTCATCTCGTCGTGTGACATGATATTAGTCCTGCTAGGACAACACGAGAGCTAGCTATACTGCAGTGGCAATACCAAAACTAGCGCATTCGATGCATGATCATGTAGCACAGCCTGCCGTAAGCATCATCCCTTCTCGAACTTATCCTGCAAATGCCTGCAATCTATTCCGTATAAAAGAAGAGAGAGAGAGAGAGAATGAATGGATGAAAGGATATGTCATTCAGGTTTTCCTCTCTTAAAACATCTTCTTTGAGGCCAGTTTTGACAAAAACTCAAAAAGGGCCTCGCTTAAGTTCAGCAACTTGCCAGCTACTAATTACATTGACAACTTCTTCATTCTCCTGTAAATTTTCAGAATCATTAACTTCTGAATGCTCCTACCATGCCTTCTATGTGATCTGCAGATGGACCGAGAACAAACGGGTCACATCGCAGAGTT